TCGTTTCCACATTGTTTTAGCAGGGTTTTCGTTTGGCCGATTTGACTTATAGAATAAAAACTCCATGTGCACACGCACGAATTCATGGATACGTCTGTGTAAACACGGAACGTATGCGTCAAATAGAAGCAACAAAAACAGATATCGTCTGGATCGTCCCTCTCAAAAAAGTAACAAGCCGCTTTTTCTCCGCGTTCAAACCCCTATCCGTCACTTGGGAACGCGCTATGTGGCCTCGCGAAAAACCGACTTATTATCACTGTGAGGAAACCTATAAATTAGTAGGTATATGTACATATATATACATAAGTTCTCTGTTTGTATGTGCATTTTAAGTTAGTCAAAACTCCGCTCTGAAGACCTCTGATCATTTCGCTCTAATCGTTACTCAGAGAAGTCATGTGATTTTCTACTAATTGATAATTTGGTGCTCCTTCGAAAATAGACTTTCCTTGGATTATTGAAGTTCACATTTATGAAGGCTGTAAATCCTAGAAGTGCTATAAATACTCACACCTGCACCCAACCTGAAGCGGCCAGTAAGCAAATGAGCCATTGTGTTCTTGGTCTTTTTATATATCGTCTTTTTATTTTAGAAACCACAGACAACAATCCTAGTGTATAGGCTAGTAATCGCCTTGATACATGGTTTTCACCGTTGTTTCTTTTCATTCAAGTTCATCGGTTTTTCATTTCCATCAACTGTTATGCTCGTTTTAATGTTAGCAATCAAAAGTGGTTAGAGTAATTTCCGTAATGGTTAAGAGATAAAACGCATCAACGTCTGGGTTTATCCCTGGCCATCTTTATAGGCGGTAAATTTGACTCCTCATCGAAGAATTAAGCTGACTAACATTTCCACCTACACATAACTACTCTACTAACTCTTTGAAACTGATCTGCTAGAGATAAACAAGTGAGAAAATTCAGACGTCCCCGTCCGTGATTCACAAAAATAACAAAATTGTAGACGTCGTAGAAAAGGGTAAAGTTGACCAAGTTTACTTATTCAAAGCATCAGCACAAAGCTCAGTTCAGCATGAGAAGAGCTGTTGTGATCCCAAAATTTCGGTTTTTCACTTGCCAGTTCCTATATAACGTCATCTTTACTCAAGTTGATCCCATATATTTCTCGAACAAAAAACGATGCTGTTCAAGATGCTAGACAAAACGGTTCAGGGTGCGGCGTCAATGGTTTACATCTATGCGAGGCCAGTGACGAAGTATAATCAAGAATGCCTGCGTCGATGGTTGACAAGGGATAATTGTGAGACGACCTCCCAACTAGCATTCCTCATTGAATTGAACCTAAATAATTCTGAGTATTCAGCAAGTAAGGTGAATACTACATTGCTATAATTATAATAGTTTATAATTGATAATTGTAATAATTATAATACTGAATATATTATGTGTTTCAGTAGCTGGAAAATAAGACTTTTCTAAATATTATCCGACTCATCTTCACATCTACTGTACGGAAAAGCACTTCTGTCCTTCGATTTGTTTTCTCACATCCATCATTAACGAAGGGTTTGAACTTTTCACGCGTCGCTTCGGCTGCTGATTGAGGATTGTCTTGTTTGTCATGAACATCGCTGAATGCTGGTCGAGTCGATTCCCCTGTCTCTGGAATAGCTAGACTGGAGCGATCCCACTTGGACTGCAGAACTGAGTGCTTCGCGGACAAGTTTGCTGCTAGCGTTCAGACCTATTAGGGATGGGAGGCAGGTGAATCCGATTCGGGATCGGACCATGATGAACGGCATCACTAACACTGCTCAACAAAGTAAGCACTTTTGAAATCAAAAACTTGTATCTATTTTAACTGTTTTCATGACCCATCTAATATCAGATAATGTAAAGCAAATATTTTGCTTGTATGTGCACTTCCTGACACCGTCTGGCTCCGTCGTAGGATTTTATGTGCATCCAACCAACCATCTTTTATGATTAGCAAATTTAAGCCTCACTCGAATAAAATCGGCTATTCTGAGCTCCTTATCGAGCTCTCCTCCTGTAGATGATACGAAAATGAAAAGACGATCTTTTTCAGTAGTAAATGGTGATATAAGAAATTCTTTTTGATGACTTTGAACTTAAGTAGAAAGCATGATAGCGACCATGTTCCAAACTTTGGAATCGATTGAAAATTGGTATCCGAATCATCGATTCACTTTGTTCTATTTAATCTCTATCCATTTCCTTATTGCCATTTTCTCGACTTTTCGAGCTAAAATTGAAGAACGTAATTCGTTCTCACCCACCTAAATTTACATTTTTAAGATTTCTAACCGTTTAAATCCGTTCACTTAGTTTAATTTAGTTCGTTGTCTTGAAACCGTACTCCACGAAGATTTATGAAGAGTATGATGGGTTCAGATGCAGTTTAAGATTTTTGTTTTCATGATTGTCGCTGAATGCTGGTCAAGTGTGATCCTTAAATCCTAGCATTTCTGTAGAAGAACTGTCCCATATCTTGGCAAAAGGACGTCGATGGCCCTTTTGTGAATTGGAATGATCTTGTGTTGTAGTGCGCATTTGCGATCTAGACGTTATCGAACCAACGACAACGTGAATTGCGGCACACTTATAACCACTGCACTACACGGACCGTTACCATGAAGAAAATAATACAAATTATCTCGGACTTTCAACCAACACATTTTTCATAGCACGAATACGATTTAGCTACTTCCATCTCGTTCCTTATAAATGTGTAGACGCAAACTACTATGTACTTAAATCAGTGAACAATTCTGTTGTCCGTCAAGTCTCGGCACTTTCACAACACCGTCACTTGCAGTTGATCCTGGATCTTCCCGGCCAGGCATCGTTAGTGGACCCAATACCGATTGCAATCAAAGCAAACGTTGACGAGGACTGCAAAACTGGGATAAACATCGACGCCGGTATGCCTTGGACGATTTTAGCATGGTATGGTCATGAAGGCTGATTTTCTTGTATACAGATACCAACACCGCTAACGTTTTCGACGACAAAGACTATAGATACGCACTCCAACTTCAGGAAGATAATAAGTCAAGGTACGCTACTCAAACAATAACTAAATCCTGGGTGGTTTGCAAAGCTCTAGAACGACAAAAATAAAGTAATAACAAATAAGAAAAGGATGAATAAAAGCAATTCTTATTTGCTATCACTCTAAACCACTGAGTGGATGGCGTAACACTGGAACTCGCCCACGGCTAAACCAAAATTGCTTATTGCGATGAATATGAAAAATACTACAAAACGCCACGCAGATGCGACTAACAATCCATATCTGTTCAGTAGTTACTGTCCCGCTTCTGTCCATACCAGGTGATCCGTGCAAAATTAGCTCTACTATCAAACTGGGGAACTTTGACGATAATCACATTATGCTTCCATGTGATTTCTGTGCGGTTGGTCTCTACGTGATACACTTTGACGACATTATCCGTTAGTAGGGAATCTCTCACAAAGAAACCCGCACACCTTTTTCCTGCCTGATAGAAGTTAATAAAAACTAATCTCCTAAATGTAGTAATAAAGCAAAGCTTTTCCAGGTGTGCTATACTTGCTCCGATCATGGATAGGCTGTTCCCACCAGTAGCACAGCCTGCAAGCGCATAATAATAGTATTATGCATCAATAAATATTCCTTGCCCATGATGCTTTTCTATTGTAGGGAGACATCTGCGGAGCATATAACTTCTACTTCTGATGACCCAAATGCCTTAACAGCTTACGGCTCTTGCTCAAATGTTCTCAAATAGTAGTTCCTCTGCGTATTCCTTCACTATCCTTTATGTTCTTGTAAGATCAATAGACCATCTACCCACTTTCTCTGCCCAGTTCTGGGACTAAATAGCTCACTACATCTATTTCGCTGTCCAAATATAAAATGTAGCTTAAAGATGTGTAGATTAGAACACTCGACATTACAAAAAGCCGTACGACGTCTCCTCCGAAAGCACCACATGCAATTTAATTGTCCCGAAAGCCAAATTATATGAACTATAAATGAAAGAACACATCCTCGTTCTTGAGATGCTGTAGACCTTACAGGAACGATCCGAAAACCTCTATTGAACACCAGAACAGAGCGACCGAAGCGTTCTCTTCACTCTGTTCTAACTCGTAACAAGCAATTTTAATCACCCATCCAACCTTGTTTCGTTGCCCAACATTTTATTGAATTTCATCAATGTCGGTTGATTTTAACGAAGTTGCTTCAAAAACAGAACCTTCACTAAGTTTTCTCTAAATAGTACTAACAAATAACGACCGCTGAAAATTTCTATGAGAATCAGTCGGTCGAAGAAAGAGGAATCTGTTAACAATTAAGCACATGGGAATGAAGAACAACAAATAACGAGCATAACAAATTTCGAGGTAAGTTACCAGATAAGAAGAACAGATCCACACTTGCAAGCTAACTAGAACAATTTAACAAATGGGTCCTTAACAATCATTAAGTCTTGTTAGAATGCTGTTGTTAGACAAAAAATGAACAAACCCGCACTTCACACAGATTACAAAGCACAAATAGTAAAAGAGCATGTTGTGAGACTTTTTCGACGTCTGGAGCGAGAGAATTAGAATCCGGAAACTTCAATTCTTTCGACAAGCCGACTATGTTTGCAGATAAAAGCTTACAGTAACACAATTAAACAAACAAAACACGGTGAAAGATACTAATTTCTAAAAATCTTATAATTTTAATATAACAGTTTATATAATAATAATAACTTCACTATTTGGTGATATCGAATAAACTAATAGCCTCTTAAACAAACAACTGACTTCTACACACAAAATTTTGTTCGTTCGCATATTCTAAATTACGATAGATCATTAAACCTAGGACACATATATTTACTAAAAATCCCGCATCCGGTGGACTACAAGAACCACAGTACTGAATATAAACTGCACAATGATTGCGATGTCTTCCTAACTAGCAGCCGATGGAAACCAAGGTTCAGTAGCACATCTAAACGTCCAGCTACTCACTAGTTTTCGCTTTGCTCCATTTGCTTTTGCATCACACGTCGACGGTTGCTGACACGATACGGCTTGAGAGCGTCGATTTTCCGCCTCTTCAAAAGCGCCTTTTTTGCAGTTTTCTTCCGTTTAAGAAGAGCCGCCTCTTCGGGATTTGTCACTGAGAGTTCCTGAAGATGCACAAAAACTTAATATTGTCCATTTAAAGCACCGAAAGGTTAGAAATTAGAACACGAATAACAACATAACAATGTTCCAGATTACAACGATTACTCATAACATCGTAAATCTGAATTTCGTTAGCACATTTAAAATAACAGATCCCAGGATCGACTTTCTATTAACCTCGGCATTGGAATACGAATGCTTCGTTTTCTTGTTCAGCAATCGCGAGGTTTTTAAACAGCATACATTTACTTCCATAGAGAAACACAATAGAATACAACGCTAGCTGACGTTTCGGCAGTATCGCCTTCTTCAGAGCCTGGAAGGGTATACTGATATACGATCTAATAGGCCAAACGCTTCAATAACACTTACGAAAAGACGAAAAGCTCTATGGTAATTACATGATCAACAGCTCGAATAACTCACCGCTTTTTACATGACTTTATGTACCTGCATAAAAGAACACCCAGATAGCTAATGAAAAGCAAGACTATCTAGACCACTACGGACGCATAGGATACAAAAGCATAGCGGAGACGATTTTGAAGTAAAAGTCAATATTCTTGCACAGGACACTAAAACCCCAGCGCGAAAACTTCTTGAGGCGTTTTGGATAAATGCCAAAAACCCTACAATGAATAGCAGGGACGAATGCCCGGAGGTCATACGCGACCTGATCCTGTACGTTCGCATCGATTTTTGATGTGCGATGGTGCAGTCGTCAACCACATGCGACTATAATCAGCTGTTCTAAACTTCCTCATCGGAAGTCACGAAAAAGCGGTGGGTTTTTTCGAGTTGTTGATCATGTAATTACCATAGTTTTTCGTCTTCTTGTAAGTGTTATTGAAGCGTTTGGCCTAGTAGATTGCATATCAGTGTACCCTTCCAGGCTCTGAAGAAGGCAATACTGCCGAAACTTCAGCTACTGTTGTATTGTATTGTGTTTTTCTATGGAAGTAAATGTATACTGTTTAAAAACCTCGCTACTGCTGAACAAGAAAACGACGCATTCATAAAATAACAGAACTATAACCAAGACCAAAAAGCGCTCATAAAATTAAGAGAGCTTTAAGATCAAACAAACGTTTTCTATAAAAGAAAATTTGAATTGAAAACTCGGATACTTGCATATGTGGATGGCCCGTCCTCATTGTTTGTGCGGGCCCCGGCATACTCTCCATTTTTCTCAGTTTTGCTGGTTTAGCTTTTGTGGTTCCCTGGAGTCCCGAAGTCAGCCTAGCCAAAGCCTACACCAAGGCAGCCGCGACCCTTGTGGATCTGAGAAAGATTTGCCACCATCCTAGTAGTGGTTCACTCTTAGCCACGCTTCTTGATGGAAACGCCGGACTTTTTCTCAGCATGAGAGACCCCACAGGAGGGATGAATCCCCCCGCTGTACATCGCAGGCCGACACCCAGGAGAACCACCAGCCACGATGAGGCGGTAAACCATTGCGAGGGAACAGCAAACTCCACATCCAAAAGGTTTATCAATAGTTACCTTCAGTTTACGTTTTCGTTGTACTGCTTTAATAACGGCGGCCTTTTGACATTCAGCCAACATCGTTGCATATCGTTGTTCTCCTACTTTGGATTTGAATACTTCACCCACTTCAATCGAAATCGAATGTAATTCTTTATCTGAAAATAATATAATTGTTGGAAACTTCTAAGGCCATGATAAATAAATTTACGAATAAAAACCTTGAGACGATTTGCTGTTCATCTCGTGAACCAAGAATGGAAGGAATAATTGTACGATAGCAACCAATTTTGACGAATCTTCTTCACGCACTGCAAGTGCTGCGGCCATTTTCAGGCAAGTCGTGCGCTGAATACATTGAATTCAATAAACATAAGACCTAATATATTGCCATGTGCTACCTCACAGTAAGACATTATAAGTTACCTTTAGAGAGAGATTCGGCTGATGAACGATCTCGAATCGACAAATATTTGCAAGTTTTTCCACCAGCATATTGAAGTGCTCTTCATTCAAATGACGCGAAATAGCCATTAAAATCTTCGACGCCTGTCAATTATGGAATAGCATGAAAATACGGAAAAAAATGTATGTTTGTAAGTTTATATATAGTATCCAACTGTTTATCACCTTATTGTGGGAACGCAGACTAAGTAGTTAATGCTTTCTCCTTGAGCACCTGGTTGTTAACAACTCGCGCTCGCTCATGAAGAAAACAATAACTTATTGATCAATGCCGAGGTTAACAGAAAGTCATTCCAATAAGATCACGTAGTCATTGAATTGCTCAAAAGATTGGTATATATGGTTGAAGCTCAGCTAAAACTAAGTCAGTACCACCAACATCACGGAGCAAACCTAGTCGCTATGTAGCTATGATAATTTGATAAAGCTCTACACTGCTACATAGGAATTCCAAGTGAAAAAAAAACATAGTTCAACTAGTAATAAACGAAGCGCATTATTTTTCGTACACTAGGCAGTAAGAAAACTACTCTGTCTCAAGTTACGTAGGACGCCATCAGTAGCACTAGATGAGAGCGACTCTTCCACAACATACTATAGATACTATTTAGAGCGCCGTAGCTAAAAAACTAGAACAGTCAAACATAAATACGACCTTCACGGCTTCCTAATGACTTCTGCTGATCATTTCAAATTTCATGTGATCGTCATACCCAGAAGATCAAACCAAGTAGCTGGTTCCTTCATCACCATAACCCCATCACCTTGCATTCAATACGACCACAAGCTCCTCATTAAAAAGAGAATTAAGTCGTGAGTCCAATAAAAAACACCATAACCCAAGGAGATGATGAAAAGTCATAAAATATGGTAATATTCCAGATGTAATCTTATCCTACACGATAAATAAAGGAGGAATCAACTGACTGCGACTTGAAAATCTAAAGTTTCCGAAAATGCGCCCAAGACCGCTTAAATGCCCATTGAAAAATTTCGGATAGCATTTCGAAAACTACCAAGAAGCTTCTGTTTGGGAAGAGAAAAAACTAAAGCAGGCTTGGAATTGCAGTCAACGTTACAAACAAAGTGGACAACTCCAAGACCACATAACATCACTGTCAAGTTGTCCCGAACTGGAAGCAAACTATGGAATAAAAAACAGTATGGTGAAAAAGATGATATATTAGAACCAAGGCTCGTCAAGAAAGTACCGACCGAGAAAACCAAAAGATCAGAAACTATGCGTGATCTACCAAAACATGGATTATCGTGTTATCGCGTTATGCGACGAAAAGAATTGATGACGACTGAACGAGAGGAATGATTGAATAAACCCCACAAGCAGGCAAATACCCTAGAGCGATCACTCACAAGATAAGTGCTAACAAGATAAATGTGGATCACGCCAATGAGCCGTATTTGCGGCTGAAAGAGGACTTGTGGATAATAGAATGTATACCATGTTGCTCAAAAATGTCCCGTGGTAATTATGACTCTAAAGAGCTTATTTAAGATTGTATATTTAATTCTTCATTCCTTTTCAAATACTGTTCTTTTCAGCTAAACCTAAAAGGAATGAATTCAAAGGTAATGTTTCGCCTTATTTCTTCTATGTAACTAACAATTTTAGTCATTTACAACCTTCACATAATTCCTAAGCACTTATTATGTAAACAACATTTAAGAAAAACACCTGCAAGGCAATGTCCTCAGCTAGTATCCTGTCACGCAACTGCCAGTAGCACCACTGAACTAGCTTCATGGAGCGCTCAGAGGTGAAGAATGTCCTCTCATAGTTGTTCAGACATTGACCGATGAGACATGCAGCAGACAATCGAACAGCTACGGAGCTCTCGCATTTCATCAACGACTCCAAAGAATCTAAAAGAGACTGTAATTCCATGCAATGCACTTCAAGGACACGACAAACAAACTAGCGAACAAATGGTCTACCCATAGTAATTGGAGGTATCACCGGGTGAGGTGAACCGCAATTTTTTATTACCATGTTAGTGCATTGTCATTTTTCACAAAACCAGATATAATTGGACTAAAAAAATCGAGACTTTGACCATGCTTAGTTTTCGTTTTCATTAAAAAGTCTTCAGAAGTTATGAATACATCATAACTGGCCTTTCCACGAATATATCAAAAAGACACATGAAGACATGATAAGCACGGTGATGAACAAATTTTGTCAAAAAAAGAATGAACAGTAATTTTCTGAGTACTACTTAAAATACTGTACAATACACTAATGTTTAACTTAAAGCTCCAAAACGAACCAAAGTCATAAAACAATATCGAGCTAACTCACCAAAAATCACACAAAAATCCTCCACCGATAAAACAACACTGGATGACGAGTTTAGATTTTGTAGCATAGAAGCTATACCATAGCAGAATCCAGAGATTGTTTGCTCACTAGAAATATGTTACTGTGTGCTAACACACTATATTTGAACAGTAGACAGGCCGTTGTCAACGGATATTTCAATCCTAATCGATTTACCACTTAACTATTTCGCTACGTTTGGAGCCTGTTTGGGGACGCATTGTTTTTGCAATCTTATTCAGTGAACATTACGCAATCTTAATTAAAAGTCGAAGTTGCACCTTAGGTTTCCCATTTGGATGCTCTCTTACTTAAACACGAAGCGATCTACCTGGTTCGCCTATATATTCATTTTCTCAGTCGTTACAAGAAGTCGGGTATATTGTACCAAACTTATGCAGTATCCAAACACGCCTTTACGGTAAATCGTGCATTTCTAGATTGTCGTATAAGCAGAGTTGAACTAAACGGCCAAGAAATATAGTCGGCGGTCGTCAAACAACTCTAACGGATTTCGTGACTCAATGTTTTTTAGGTAGTTAGATCACCAGTATTCCGAGTGAGTTTCATTCACTGTTGTACGTTAACAGAATATGGGTGATCTTTCTCCCAAGAAAGTAGACGACGAAAAACGGTGAGTGCACTTCACCATAACCAAAGTTTGTGCTTTGACTGTCCACTAAGATTACATAACTAATTATCGAGTAGTAGCTTATCAATACGTCCCGTTCTAGGCTCTGGAGAAGGAGAGATCTCCGAAACGTTAGCCATTGTAAAGTGAAAAACGTGCTAACAGTTTCGATACAACTAGATTAGAGAAGGTTCATAATAACTTGCATACCAATGCAACGATCGAATGAAAGTCACCCTTTACAATGATGAAGATATAATTAGCGAGTAGCAGTACTGAATGCAAAGGATAATAAACCTCTCGGCGCTGATCAAACCCTGAGGGATGTGTCATGCATTCGATTTCACTAAGCATCGTTAGAGGTGAGTGAACGAACGCATATCTAGCTTATTCAATGCTGCGCTATGACGATTAAGTGCTGCTATTCTCTCAGACAAATGTGGGAGCCCAGAAGGATGGAGGGTTTGGAGAGTCCAGTGCGCACGATCGAACAAATGACCATGTATTTCAGGACACACCTACCACCGCGCTACACGCACTCTTCTAAATATATCCAATAAAAAACAAACCTATTATTGAACCAAAGGGTTCCAGAAGTAAAAATCGCCCGTAGAAAAGGTAGAACTATACGAAAATTAGAACAGAAGGCTTCTCCTTCGATCTTACTTAGTTGTACTAGTAAGTTAACAGCAACAGAACGTGCACCCTCCTGGAAAAAAAACATTCATATCAGCTTTATCCACACCACTGCGCTTCTGTGATGGTTAACCTCACCTAATCAAATAGTACGAATTACAAATGTATTCCACGGTCAACTTTTACTGTAAACTATCGGCTAGAAAAAAATCAGCCGTTTGGGATTTTATTTGTCTATCAATGATTATTTAACATTAAATATTTACCGAAAAAACTGATTTAGTTCCGCTTTTGAAGGCCTTTAGTATAATTTGGGAAGCTTAAGAAAAATCGATGATGACATGAAATATGTTGAAGGTATGCTAAAATAGCTCACTATCCTCACAAAAAATGAAAGAACTGTGAAGAGAACGAAGGTGTGTCCCAATTGGACATTGTTACAAGCTTTCTTTGAGAACATAGTCGATAAGCTATAGCATGGACAAATCATGAGCTAAAATAGGTACAATCTGTTTCTGACGGGGTATTTTGCTTCAGTTCTAAGCATTACAAGCTTTGATAAGAAAACGAAGCACCATGACATTATCTACTACTGAATGTTTGGACATTGGTGGTGCCTGCCAAAAAAAATTCTATGTATTTCGATAATATTATTAGAGGTGTTCGATTTAAAGTGTATTTTCCAGTAGTGGATAATATTAGGAAGTGTCTACATCATATAACTTTCGATGCATAAACACTTGATAATGGCATGAATAACACATACTTTAGGTTTCAACGGCTCAAAATGTCGAATATAGAATATCCAGCATGTATGCATATATATATATATATATATATATATATGTATATGTTTATATGCATATAGACATGGATTGAAGGGCAAATTGAAACTAGGAAAAATACCTGCTCTTCCTCTTGAAGCTCAAGCCAATCACAACAGGCTGAGAATACATCAAGGCGTGTTGATTCACTTACGGACACAAAAAGGTTATATATAGCTGACAAAATGAATCGGCGACATTTGGGACTTTCCTCATTAAACAATGACGCCCCAAGTTTGGAAACGTTGAACAAACAACAGCTGTTCAACACGGACTGAAATGTGACGAATATATGGACGAAACTGCCAGTGAGAATAAAAAAAATGTTTTAACACTTGTAATGCACACGATGCTGTATAAATTACGGAGATAGTTCCCAGGATCGACTTTCTCTTAACCTCGGCATTGGAATATGAATGTGTCGTTTTCCTGTTCAGCAATCGCGAGGTTTTTAAACAGCATACATTTACTTCCATAAAAACACAATACAATACAACGCTAGCTGACGTTTCGGCAGTATCGCCTTCTTCAGAGCCTGGAAGGGTACACTGATATGCAATCTACTAGGCCAAACGGTTCAAATAACACTTACAAAAAGATAAAAAACTCTATGGTAATTACATGATCAACAGCTTCTCGAAAAACTTACCGCTTTTTACGCGACTTCCAATGAGGAAGATTAGAACAGCTGATTATAGCCGCATATGGTTGATAACTGCACCACTCCATCGCGTGTGACCTCTGGTCACTGCTTTCTGCTATTCATCGTAGGGTTCTTGGTATTTATCCAAAAAGCCTCAACCAGTTTGAGCGATGGTTTTTAGAAGGTGTCGATCACGTAATTGCCATAGAGTTCTTCGTCTTTTTGTAAGTGTTATTGAAGCGTTTAGCCTAGTAGATTGTATATCAGTATACCCTTCCAGGCTCTGAAGCAGGCGATACTGCCGAAACGTCAGCTAGCGTTGTATTGTATTGTGTTTTTCCATGGATGTAAATGTATGCTGTTTAACAACCTCGCGATTGCTGAACAAGAAAACGGCGTATTACTGAGATAATCGAAGTTACGAACTTCAAAGTGCATTGTGAGTTAGATCGTAATAAACCTTACTGATACAAAGATCCACGTATATATGTAGTATTACGATTCGAAGTACCAGGATCTGCCACCAATGCCAATACCAGAACCTCTCACCACCCTGGTCCCAAACTAGTCGTATGGTGGCAAATCTCCCTCTCATCCACAAAGGAGGCGACTGCCTGTGGTGGCGACGACCTGGGCCATACTTTGACCTGGCTGACCTCAGGTCTCCAGAGAACCACTGTGGCTAAACCAGTAAAAGTCCGAAAAAGTCGAGATTATGCTGGGCCGCACACAACGAGTGAGGACGGGCCATCTAAGTATCCAAATAAGTGTGATTGGAAAAATCGCAAGTTAAGAGCTCCGTAAAAAAATTCCCTATGACGACAACTTGCGTGGTCAACTTATACCACATTAAGGAAAAAAATTAAGTGGTAAAGGAAAAAACGAAGAATTAAGCATTTGGGAAATCGTTATAGCGTGATTATTACAAGATAGAAAAATATTTCTAAAAAGGAGAAATTCATACTCGACTAAAAGCAAAATACGTCGAGGCTATATTCGCAAAAATCCATCGCTGGAATCTAGGAGTTTAAATTCCGCTTGATTTTCACTTTTTCAGCATAAAACTTCTTCCAAAAGCTCGGTTCACGTATGTGTCATGAGCCATTTAAAGCAGTAGAGAAATTTTCAATACCTTGATTGGAACTGTATGTACGTTGTACTACAAACAAACACAGTTCTCAATTCATGTTACACTTCTGAATATTTTTTGTCTGCTCATGAGACAACGACAAAACAAAACAACAAATTGGTTTCATGTCAACTGTGGTTTCGAACTCTAAATTTTAACCACAACGTTGCTGAGATAATTGCAAAACTCTGGACCGCAGGTGTCTATGGTGGGGAACGAACGCGCTATTATCCTTTCCGGGGAGTAACGCGTTCACCACCACACCATGCGGGTCCTTTGTTTCGCACTTCTCTTAGCTATTTCTATCGATCTTTTTTTACAGCCATGGCTTAACTGGGTTCTATGCCGATTTGCGCTCCCCAGATCAACCCCGCTGACGGGTGATTGCTGTGGCAAAAAGATCGATAGAAATAGCCGAGAGACGTGCGAAACAAAGGACCCGCATGGTGTGGTGGTGAACGCGTTACTCCCCGGAAAGGATAACGCGTTCGTTCTCCACCATAGACACCTGCGGTCCAGAGTTTTGCAAATATCTCAGCAACGTTGTGGTTGTATTTCGCTTAGTAACCTGCCATGAAAATTATAGAAGGCAGAAAACAAAACGTTAAACATTCTAAATTTTAAGTTACTACAACTAGGCTCAAACATCGAGGATAAAGGATAAAGTGTTTGGTGTTGACCAATCCCTCATTCTATAGTTTCGAAGCCCCATGCTTTCGGTTTCATCGAGCATCGTTGACGTGACTAAATGCATATTTGACACATGAAATGACTTGCGGTGGCCTACCGATATATCGATTCAATGATGCTATCCTACCAGATGAGTGTGGTAGCAGGGTCAACGTGAATTTTGCAAATCAAGGTAGCCACCACTAGAATCTAAACATTCTTACCAACAAGATCCAAGCTTAACTATTTCGAAATAACCGAAATCTCAAGTTCTTGACTTGATGAATTCTCCGAAAGCTCTTCGAAACCACCCTCATGAAGTCTTTCCCAAGTCTACGCAATAAAGAAGATTCCTTGATCGCACTGTGAAGTGCCATTAAAAATGGATCTTATACGACAACCATTTTGTTTTCAGTGTAGTAGTTGGACACAGACGAAACTCCTAAACATCTTTTCGGAGGTGAATATGTATAAAAAGTTTATGGCAACTTCAGGCTGAAGAGCGCGTGTGGCGCAGTGGTCGGAGGCACCCTGCAACACACACGTCCGGTCCCCGTACTCGTGGCCCACCAAGCCTTCCATCCTTCCTGGTCGGCAAATTGTTACCAGATTTGTCGACGTCTGGAAGGATAGCAGCACTGGCTAGACATATCTATACGCTACCGCGAGTCATTGTAAAGGCCAGATATGCATTCAATCAACTCCAAACGATAATCAATGAAGTAGAATGCATGGCTCATCCCTCAAGGATTGATCAATGCCGACAGCTTTATCCTCTGTCCTTTTAACTTCGTGGTAATCCATATGTGGAAACGTAAACTACAACTTTTCAAGCCAGGGTAAACCATAACGATAGATAGTAATTAATATAAAGCACCAGCTGTCTGCCTAGGAGGTCTGCGACCGATGTATTTCAACGAATTATGTGCAGTAATGCAGAAGTTAAATGAATGGAGCTACGAACTTCTATTTCACAAACCATATTCCATCCACCTTCCGTCAACTGTCTACCATTTCATAAGCACCACGGCAACAACTTTCATTGAAAAAACTTCAACACCCACTTCAAGGCTAAAAATGGCACCAAAGACTCCCCATTTCGATGGCATCGGAATACTATTGCGGTGGAATAAATAAATATTTATTTTCTGTTAGTATAAACGTTTACATTTTATTACTCCTATGTAAAACATTAAAGGTGTGGCCGGCCTTACTAATAACGGTTAAAACATTTTAGTACTAGGTAACAACTGTTGTTGCAAGAAACCAATAACTTGAGTGAAATACTCGCTACATTGCTAAGGTATCACACCTTAAGTCATCAAACATTCAAATTACTCCACAAAAACATAGGTCTGGCCGCAATAAAAAATTAAAAAGTTGTAAAGCCAAAAGCACCCACTGGCTGAAGCCGAGAGAAGAGACTGTGCAACATTTCAACAGCGCTGAGACGACCATCTTCAAACTCATAGCCTAACTGAGCGATGAACCATTCGATATACTTCTGCGGATTATCCGAACTAGGATGATTCCCGATAAATTCCAAAAGAACCTTAAAGTATTATATTTAACAATCTCCGTTGTGATTCACCAGAATGCATTTGCCAGTAATGTATCGCCTCGATAACTTGAGATGAGCTGCAAAAAAAGGTAGCTAGGGCAAGTCGTAACGATGTGGTGTAGCCTAATAAGTATATTCGACGTTATCACTTTATTAAAAAAAACTCAAAAAACCAAATTTCAATTATATTCGTTATTAATAAACAAGTTGTTTCGTTTTTAAGAATTGTCCTTGATGATTTTCTTCGTATTTTTGTTGAGCAAACGCGAGGTGTTATTATTCTTTTTTCACGATTAAGCTGACGTTTCGGCGGATTTCGCCTTCCTCAGAGCCTGGAAAGGTGAAGTTGATAGCAATCTACTCCGCCATACGCTCCATAACCAAACAAAGAAACTCCAAACCAAGATTTCAATCACTTTGAACACAGCTTTGCACACTCACCGCTTTCTATGAGGTTTTGTCATGTCCTCATTGTCCTTGATGAGTTTGAAATCACACCCCAAAACAATTTCTAACTTAAGTAAAGTATTATTTAAGGTATCCTCATTTCCTAACGAAATAATCACCATTACTAAATGGACAGTCTAAAATGGATTGGTCTAGAAAATCCTGGCAGAGCTACTAACCATTTCTGAACACTACGCTGTCAATTAGTTCGAAACTTCCTGTACGTGCTCTAACACACAGAGTAAAAATGCATAATTTGTCCAAAGACACAGTTGGGGAACGGATAAGTTCAGGTACAACATGTCGTATCTCTGACAGAGTACTCCACTTGGGATGTTTCGCATAAGACCCAATCGAAAGCACGTTGCCATACTACCAAACGTGACCTGCTGTTGCAATTCATATTAATTTTTTGATGAGTGGATTTCATTAATCGCCATCATCCTATGTGAATGGCATAGTGAACCGTTTCATTCTCCAAAAAACGTAAACAGAAAAGAAAATGTGACAGTTCATTAACACAATGAGGTTTCCCATTGATTTCTAATTAAGACTATATTGTCAACGAATAAGAGCATAAAAACAATATAGTCCATTACAGGCTCTAAGAAGACAAAGTTGCCGAAGCGTCAGCTGTTGGAATTAGCTTGCTAAGAGCAGTTTGCAAGAAGAAAAACGCTTGTTACGAACCTCTCTACACTGCGTCCTAATGTGAGGAAATGACGACGTAACTGACATCTCTTTGAGCTTTTTTATAACGTCCAAAACCTAAATTAATGCCATAGTAGACAGATTCATATAAATTAGTATTTGAACCCACGAAAGAGAAAAGACAAACAAAAGATCTCCAAGTGTACCACATACTTGAGGGTGTTGGATTTTCCTCCGTACAAGTGCCTTGATGAGAGCGAAGGCGGTGGCTTGCCGATTTGTATCTACTATGTCTATTTCAGCATAGCTCAAAAGGAGAGCTATATGCTCATCCGTAAGAAACGAAGTATTTGACATGGCAATCAACTGTGTAAATGACTAAAATCACGTAACTAAATGCCAAGGTTTATGTGTAACTCTGCTGTTCAACAGATCACCTTGCACAAAAGTTGATTAATACTAAGCACAGACTCCTTATTAGCAGCGTTTCCAAGAATTGAATATTCAGATAGCAGTGAAAACAGTCTAAAAAAGAATACATTTTACCACAATTAAAAATAAAGTCCGTAAGAAGAACACTTAAGAAATTAGAAACGGTAAAATTCTCAAGCAAAGACACACAAGAGATATTTTGCATATCCAATATGGATTAAACAGAAGACTTAAAGGTTAAAAGATATGTACCTCTTTGACAAAACATCAAGAGATGACTGGATAGAAGGAAGCGCCAAGTGCAACACACCGATAAGGCAGCGAAGAGCATGAGAGATGACCTGAACAATGATGATTTTCGCAGAGAAATCTGCGATTCAAGGGCAATGTCGAAATCAGTATTATGTCAGATCAGATCTTCAAGGATGTCAAATAGTGAAGCATATGTAAAGGATAAAGCATCTGCCAACAATCAGTTCGAGGGATGTGTCATGCATTCGACTTCACCAAGCATCGTTAAGGGTTGCACGTATATCTGAGGCTCTACAGCATATATATATACATATATGTATACATAAATAAAAACAAAAGAGATAAAGCTTTTGGCATTGATCAATCCCTGAGGAATGCGCCATGGATTCGAGATCATTAAGTATCGTTGGAGGTGACTGAATGCATATCTAGCCTTTACAATGACACGCGGAGGCCTACCGATGCATCGAGCAAGTGCTGCTATCCTCGAAGACAAGTCTAGTAGCAATTTGCCAACTCCGAAGAGAAGGAAGGCTTGGTGGGCAAATGGGCACGGAGATCGATTCCACGTGTGTCGCAGTGGTGCCTCCAACCACTGCGCCACACGCGCCCATATATATGTACAAGTATATGTGTATATATACATGTATATATATACATATACATATATATGGACATCCCAGGCGATCAGTGGTGGGTTTTGTGGAACTGTTGCAAATCAAAAAATTTTCGATCATCTCACCGGCTGTTTGGAAGATGCCAATAAAGAACACATAGATTGAAATACGGCTATGTTAACTGAACTCATACGTTTACTACAATCAATGTGACCCACAGACAACTGCCATTATGTTCATGCATGTCAAGCTTTACAAAGAAGCTATAAAATAATATGCTGAAAAAATACGAGCAACAATTTCGACTGAACCCATAGAATTTAGAAAAAGCACACAAAGCTCTCGCCATACTCTCGCCTTTAAATCTAGAAATCAAACCAGACCATTAGCAACTCACATTGCAGTCTCTACGACAGCCATTTCCATCTGCTTCCATGTCATCTCATGAAAACCTAGTTCTCATGAATAGCTAACTAGGCTTTCCAAATGTTTCTAGTAGAATGCAAGATTTATAAAAAGCGAAGAACCATTATGAGAGGATGTTGCACAAGAGCGGAGGGTTGCACAACATCACTTTACGAGTTAAGGTAAGAACCATCAATTAACGCGCTCCTGCCAACGTAATATAGGCTTTAACATCCCAGTATAAAGCATTGGATTTTTGGATGTGATACAGTCGCCGAATATCTTATTTATTGTCTCTCTATTAACGAATATTCTCCTGCAAAGAACTGTTCAGCCATTTCAAGTACAATAAGAACGAAGGACACGCATGGTGTGGTGGTGAACACGTTAGTCCCAGGAAAGGGTAAATAAGGAGGTTCGATTTCACCTCAAATACCTACGGAGCGGAGTTTTGCAAATATCTCCATTGTTGTAGTTGGACTTCACATCATAGCCCGCCATGAAAAAAGAATAGGTAGTAAGTAAAAAGCAATTATATTTGAAGTAAGAGACCGTTGGTGATAAGATTGTGAATAAATCCATTATATGAAATATATTTTCAAATGGATCTCAATAATTTAAAACCAGAGTTCGTCAATTGAATAGCTTTTTCGAAATTACTCCAAAGAAAAAATTTAAAACAATATGTTCGAATTAGGTATATTATAGCAAACTTGCCTTTTCGGTTTCGGCAAACGGTTTGCCGCCTCATCATGGATGGAAGGTGTTCTTGGGTGTCGGACTGCGGTGTACAGCAGAGGGATTCGTTCCCCCCGGCGGGGTCTCCCCAAACTTAAAAGGAGTCTGGTGTTTCCATCAGGAAACCTAGTTAAGAGGAAACCAATACCAGAATACCAGGATCCATCCTGGTATCAAAGTCGCATGGCGGTAAATCTCCTGATCCACAGGGGCTGCGACTGCCCGTGGTGGTGAAGACCTAGGGCAGACTTTGGCCACGCTGACTTCGGGATTCCAGAGAACCACAATGGCTTAACCCGCTGATCCCCGAAAATCAAGTATCAAGTATAGCAAACTCGCCTTTTCGTATTTCAACTGAAGGCATTGTATAAGCAAGCACAGAAATGGGTCCATTCGAGAGATATGATCCGGATCATCTCGGTTGAAGTGCTTCCCTTAAAATATAAATTTTAAGTAGCATAAAACAACGGGTTCCTAAAAAAAATTCTAAACCTCTTATTAAAGCGACCAATAGCTGTAGGGCAAATTCCAAGAATATGTGGGAACGACTCTTCAGAGGTGGTTTTTCAAGTGCCCCTATTCTTCTGGGCTCCTGAAATGTTAAAAAATTGACAAGCTGGGGACCTTCGAAACTTTTCTCTACGATGTTATCCACAAAAGCTCAATTACAAATTACAAGCAGAATAATAAAGGAATATCTCAATCATATGGCCCTTGTTGGCGTGGAATGATCTCAATCATAAGCAAATTAAGCAAGGAGGGGTCCCAACAAATTTATCTTCATAAGATCAGCGAAAAAAAACGATTGTATGGAGAAGTGGCTTACCGATGGTAGTAGGAGGCAACTTTTTGGTTTCTCCACTTTCTCCACTATTTCAGGCTTGCTAACCGAAACCATTTTCACTTTCTCAATATTTGCTACGAGCATTTGGTGAATCATAATGAGCTGTGAAGCCGGGGCGAAGCCTAGAACTCAATTTTTGTAAGAAGTGCGAAGAGTTGAAGATATATATCGGATACCACCATACTATGTCGAAATTGACCCAACCTTCGTTATCTTTTAGCCCATTTGCAAACATGGAAAGTAAATTCCTTGCACGCGAAATCATTTTAGAAGATGTTAGCGAGTCCACGATGCCTCTGAAACCTTTTGATACATACCGACATAGAAGTTCCCTATCAAGAGAAAAAATGTTCTACCACGACAAACACGAACTCAAAACGCTTCAGCAGAACAACGACGGCAGACGACGAGACAAAGCGTCCGAGTAAGAGTAACGTCCCTGGTGAGCGGTTTTTCTTTGCTTCGATTACTTCTGCCTTTATTTCTCCAACTTCTTTTTCTTCAGATACGTTTCCAAACTGCTCTTGAACAATTATCTGAAAGCGTTCAATATCTGAAAATGAAGGAAAAGGTTTTTATAGTGTCGTTCCATCCAGAACAAACAAAATGTTGCAAAATTTTAGGCTGCACAAGAAGAAAATTTCAAATTTCCGAGAACACTAAAAGTTCTTTCTGAATTCAAATCTTCGCGATGCAGTACTCCTAGCGCAAGCTTAGTTTCATATTTCCACCGTAGTATTGCTAAATACAAAAGATGGCACATCAACTATTACGCTGATAAGTGTCCCAATTTCGTTTAGAATTCCTTAACGCATTTAAAATCTCTATGCCAGATTATAGCTGCCAAATCTTCCACTCAACACATCAGAACAATAAAACCATGGTTTATCGACAAAACTAAACAGGGCTGGTACAAATCTCTATTGTGGCTAAGCGCCTGCCTTGAAGAAGGAGAAGGTGCCGCGTAAAAGACATCTGGTGAGATTTCCTTTGTGCCTTAGCTTTCGTAAACGCTGCCATGATTTCTTTCTACACGTTCCTTTCTATATCTCCCTATATAGTATCTACATCTCTATGACATATGCAGTCCCATCGATTCGATTCGAGTGGGGTGGAAGACCATGTCAACAAAATGTTCTCCGATACCACCACAAAACTACCGTTACACTATCGTTTCCGCACGGGATATTCAGTTAATACTCGATTGAATGCTGCCCTTTCAACAAGCAGACATCACGCATTACCTACTTGCTCGACAGATTACGTGACACAACTCAAATACGATTTTCAGCATATGTAAAACAACTTGTAAGGACGCTGTCTACTTTGTACTACAAAGCACAGCTCCATACTTCTAGCACAAGATGGTAATCATTACAGAACCTCATTAATAATCTTTACAATGTTTTTGTTAACAATACTGACTGGAAATCTTTGATAATTCAATACCATCATTAATGCCATTATTGTTACTATTATTAGCAATAATTATAGCCATAACTAGTACTTCTGACTGACAGAACGTACATCTAACACATCATCCAGGCAAGCGTCAAGGTCTCCACTTTTCAAGAATTGTTGCATTGCTGCAATAAGGGTGTGTACTGTGTAGATCATCACGTGAAGCTGAAATCAGTGTGATTACGTAGTAGTAGAATAAATGACTATGAAGGCAGTGGGCTTATAAATTGGAACGCCTAAAACGTTCAATTCAAGCAGAATCTGGAAGCTCAAAGCATCAAACCGAACCATTTGAATTCTTGAACAACGTTAATTTACAAGCAGCGAAACAACAACATACTACGATATTTTCTTGGATTATTAATGTAAAATTGTTGTTCAGCCATAAAGGATTATTCACTTTTCTGCTTAATAATACAAGAAAGTACTGATTATTTATGCCGAGTTCAAACGAAAGTCGATCTTTAGAGATAATACACTATCCTACCTGGAATCCTTTCGTCATTATTAATTTCATCTCCTTGATTATCACCGGTAAATATCGCGGTCCAAGGCATTCGCACACCTGTACGACAACTTTCCGAGCAGTATCACGTACGTCTATTGATCGCGACATCATCAGAAAGCACAACTTCAGAATTACTCTAAAAGTCAAAAATTATTCTAAAGGTCATCCACTCCCACTGACGGATTACTGCTAAAGATTAAAAGGTTAAAAATGTTAAAAATACTCTTTAAAGGAAAATAAGAGATGGCATGATAAGTATAAAACAAGCATAAAGCTAAATTTACTTTAAAAAAAAGAGTTGCCATCTTTCAAATTGACTTGGTTAAAAGCACAATAACACAATACTGACTTTTTGTTTACTACCAATTATTATTCTTCACGGTATTATGTGAAATAACACCACTATGATGTCGAGATATTTGCAAAAGTCGGACCCCATCCCAGATCGAACCAGCAATTACCCTTTCTCGGGACTCGGGTATTATCCACTGTACCACTGAGGCCCTTGTTTTTTTTCTCTCAACCAGTTTTCTACTTAACGATGACATCAGCAAAACCAATCGGCAGCGGGAATGATCAGGGGAGCATATATCGGCATTGAACTCAGTTAAGGTGAGGGTGTAGTCGAAATCACAATGTTAGCATTTTATTTCTTCAAGGTGAGCCAAGTGAAGCAATTTACATGTGGTCAGTTGTTTAGAGACAAGGGCGACTTTCAACAGTTTGGTTTTTGTAAGGATCAAGGATTAAAGGCGCGTGTGGCGCAGTAGTTGGAGGCGCCCTGAAACACACAAGTGGAATCGATCTCTGTGCCCATGGCCCACTAAGCCTTCCATCCCACCGGGGTCGGCAAATTGGTACCAGATTACCTAGGAGGATAGTAGCACTGACTTGAAACATCGGTAAGGCCACCGCGATTCATTGTAAAGGCCACATATGCATTCAATCATCTCCCAATGATGCTTAATGAAGTTGAATGCATGGCGCATCCCTCAGGGATTTATCAACGCCTTATCCTTTATCCTTTTTTAAGAATCATGGATTGTTGTCACATTGGCACCATCAGAGTAAAAAACTGGTTCAGAGAAAAGCAGAAAAAGGGCCTCAGTGATACTGTGTGTAACGTATCCGCCTGTAATCGATGTTCGATCTAGCCTGGAGTCCAAGTTTTGCAAATATAACAACGCAGCGGTTTTTTCCTAAGCATGTTCGGTGCTAATTTTCTGAGCCAGGAGTGAGAGGTATTGTGAGTCCGGAGTGGTATCGAACCAAGACAGTGTTCGTGATAAATCTGCATCACTGCTAATACGCAATCCGTATACATTCATGATGAAAGGAAAGTCCTCTAGCAGTACCCGAAGCTTGACGTGAAAGCTATAGTCGATGGTGGATGGGAGAAAACGAAACAACGAATCAAATATAATAAGACAGTTAATAATCATGGAGTCTGAAACACTGGCTAGAATGCTACCGAGATCTGACAGAGAGAGAATATTCTCCACGAATATTTTCTACCTTGTCATATCACTATGTGGTCTTTACACTTAGTATGCATTGTACTTAACCATATTTCATGCAACCAGCTGCATAACGAAATTAATTCCTGCTAAAAGTCGTCCTCAACCGCTATGTACCGGTTTCGTAGTGTGTTTTGCACTTTTCATTTCGACCCAGGACAAAGAGCACTGTACCTATCTCTTTGCTAAATGAATATCTCGTCCTCTTCATCGTTTTACTTTGTTTGTGTGCATAGTAATCCTCAGCCAAGTTCAGATTCGAAAGTGGCATATGATCAGTCCATCAGCGAACCATATAGAACAACAAGCAGAGATTTGTGGATGCATAGCAATACCTTATTTCCTCTCCCATGTTTCGTACTTGACGACGTATGAAATCGTCAATTTCTATTATATCACTTCAGCACCATTTTAGATTTTTGTCATTGTTAGTGTCCCGTCCTGCTATCTATACTATCTCTATTCAAGGATTACGTTAGTGAAATACAACGAAAATGATGCTGAAATGACAGGTGATTGCTGATGGCACTGATCGATTGAGAGAACTAGTTGACATTCGAAACGAAGAACTGCGGTACTGGTGAACAAGTTAGCCCATGGAAAGGGTAATAGCGCGTTCGCTCCTCAACGCAGACACCTGCGGTCCGGAGTTTTGCAAATATCTCAGCATCATTGTGGATGTTGAGATATTTGCTGATAGCAGCATTTTAGAAAACTGACTCAGAGACACACAAAGCAAGGGTCTTAGTGGTGCAGTGTGCAATATGCGAGCCCCTGGAAGGGGTAATCATGGTTCAACCTGGCCCAGGGTCCAAGTTTTGCGAATATGTCAGCAACGTTGTAGTTCTACTTTACATCATACCCTGTAGTGAAAAGCTGTAGTACGCAGCAAATAGAAGGTTAACATTGTGATCAAGTTAGTGCTTATATTTGTTACGCTCAAAGTTTTATTATCGCGAAATCGCTGTTATTGTATTATTATTGCTGTATATAAACGGTTTAAGTAGTCAAGTTTGAAATTCAACAGTGTGAGAAAAACCGAAAAGACGCGTGGCGGGATCTATCACACACCATTGCTATTTCACCTTACACTATCCAATTTTCTTTTTGCCATTCACAGTGTTATTAAGATAATTCCATGTCATCGCAATTTTCTATAATTAACTAAAGTGCGTACATCAACTGTAAGCCCACAAGATTAATCAACAGGTTGGATTGACAAGTGCATTAAACTTTTCCGCAGCTGAACATACTCACAAAATCATTATTTAAGATACAACACCAAAGAACTCTATACATTATTTTACCAACATACTACTGACAGCATTGCCGTAGTAATCGCTTTTGTTCGATATCAGTAGATTCGTAACAAGTTCTCATTCTTTCTCATCAACGAAAATAATAACTCTTCCTATGTCCCCATAATAAATGTATTTTGAACCATATCGAGTTTTAACATTTATACGATAGTGTACTTTTAACCACAACGATGCTGAGACATTAACAAAACTTGGACTCCAGATCAAACTACGAGTTCCCTTTCCGGTGGCTCGTGCATTACACACGGCGCTACGGAGACCATTGCACAGCGTTTCTCTCAGTTACTTTTCTACCTAACGTTGCTATCAGTTATCAGAAATGACCTGTCAGCGAGATTGATCTGGAGAGCACACATCGGCATAAACACAGTTAAGCTGGGGCTTTGGCGAATATCTCAGCATAGTTGTGGTTGTAATTCATATCATACCCCGCCATGAAAAATTATTGTAGACAGAAAATAAAAGGTTAACGGTGGACTTTTAGTCAGTCTGATAAACTGGTTTTGATCTTTCTCTCCTTTCTTTGGCGACATCAAAAATCACATTTATAAAACAGTAAATCTCAATACTAAAATGTGCAGTCGCAAATGTATCACAATGTCAGCTGTAAATCAGTATCTGCAGCGTAAAAGGAACTCACCCATGAAGATACTGCCGACTAATACTTTCCGGCAATTTTCGAAGGAGTTTTACGATTGCTAGAGCAACTGGAGCTCGTCGAATATCGTCATCTCTAGTGTACTGCTTAGTAGTTGCTGTGCGAGCTTTACGATGAACACTTAGTGCGGTAGACTACAAACATACTCATTATTTTAAAAGAATCTGCTTATTTATTAACAAGTGCATTTCTCTTGCTATTCTTATCACTGTATTCTCAACAGTTAGGAAATGAAAAACAAAAAGAATAAGAGGAACCTAAGAAGACACTATTTACAGGTCTTCTTTAGCATGTTGGAAGTAAGAAGACTTTTCAGAGATTCAGATAAATAAGTTGGATATATACCAGTGTCTTGAGAGAAATGACACGTAATGTTTTTGGTGGACTCCTCGAGGAAGTAGACATATGCTAACACAGAATAATGGTTATGAGGTGAAATATGATCCATACTATAAGTGACTCATGTATCTAAATGCAGAGAGTTTAGATAAACATACGTTTCCATTTATGGAGCTCGTCAGCTTTGGTAGCATATCGCGAACTAGCTTATCACGAACAACAAAACGCTTATCCATTTCGTCACCGTCGGTAGTCTCGTCAACTCCAGCTACTTCATAATGGAAGGCATCGACTATACACACAATAGCTCTAGAAAGAGAAATTTACGTTGACATGTAGACAAAAGACTGCCAGAGTAATTTAAAGACGAAGATGGCAGTCATCAAACTCTTGAATTTGTGAAATTTTAGAGCAGTTGTGTTACTGTACAAACTGCTTAGGAAAAAAAGTACTATTGCATCTATTGAACTTATAAAGGTTAGGCTAGAATAAAAAACTAAGTATGAAACAACTCGCATCACCACAATTTTCGCTACAGTTCAGTAATACAACTCTACTTCACTCTTATTCTTCGATATTGAAGAGAAGAAAACCTGTAACGCTAATAAATGAGAGATTGCTTAACTCACGACTCGTATGAGGCAGGTTCACTTTTGCGCCTTCATCGCATTTTTTATATCACCAGTTAGAACAATTACGAAGATTATCGCAAAAGGAAGCTTCAGTACCAAGCAAAAAATACCTTATTATAGCCTTATGATTCCCTTCCGGTTCATCCAAACGCTTCAACCATAAATCCAAGCATGACACATATTTCAGCCAGGGTGCGATCCCCATAGTATATTTAAGAAGGCGAAGACATTCATCAGATAACGCTGGAAAGCAAAATCTAGGGTAGAAAAATCGAAAAATTCGCACAACGCTAATGCATACCTGAAAATTTGCTCTCCGTGTCTCCAAGGTACGGATGTATAATGGGGATGAGGTATTTGTTTAGAACCTTGAATTCAATAACCACCTAAAAAAGACTACAGCACTTCCTTTTGCTGAGATTTCTTTCCGGGAAAGTACATACATATCTATATATATACAATATGTATATATATTATACATATATACATGTATATACATATAAATACATTGAATATTTAGTATTCATTCTAATAAGCAACCTTAGACAACATTCGCCACGACTGCAAAAAATTCCACTTCATTTGATATCTTTTGGTAGCCGGCTATTTCAGAATTGTTTTATGACACGCGATAAAAATAATTTCAAAGTGCACTGTATACCACAATGTACAGTATAGTAGTAATAAAATATAAGTAAAAATATACTATTAACCGACCTTGCCGCTACTAAGCTCTTCAACGAGACGATGAACAGCACGCTGACGTCGATGGAGCTGAAAAGCAAATATTGTGAAAAGTACTACCTGTGCATCGTGAATTACACGAAAAGACGAAATTCATAACACATGCATATTTTATATATGATCGTCTGCAGGGTAGTGCATACAGAGTTCCAAAGAAGTACATAGAGGATCGTGATCTCGATCCTGCTCCACAAGAAAGTCAAACCCGCCATCTCTTCGAGATCGGAACAATAGCACTACACTTGTCTGGGAGGATAAATAAACCGCCTTGGTTCAAGGCCAGGATTCCCGCAAATCATTCTATGTAAAAATGCATTCAGTTACCTCCATAATATTTCTAAACGCTAGATGAATGACGTATCCATAAGGGCTTGATCAACACCTGTACCACCCCGTTTATCGTCGAGTGATTCGAGCGGGCGATAGTAAATCTTCCATTTCTCCTGTCGAGTGCAAGAGTAGCCCAGTGGGTTCTGCTCGCTCTAAGTACTTGTCGAACATCGCTCTTTCTTTTAGGTTCCTCGTGAAGAACACTGACCATTGAGTCGGTGGTCCTCCTACAATGCGTTTAACATCCCGAGGAACCCAGTCACTAACGGCTTTTGTCCATTGGTGGTCATTCATACGCATTACGTGTTCGGCACACCTTATCTTCGACTGTTTGGCGTACAGAACGTCATCTTTGATTTTGATCGTTGACGGAGATCGGAGCTTCGGATCCCTTCCCTTACTTGTGTGAAACAGGATACCCCTAGCATCGTCCTTTGCACTGCGCGTTGAATAACGGCCTTTCAAGCTGCTTACGCAGCGACCAGGTTTCTGACGCATATGCTAGAGCAGGGAATACTGTTGAGTCGAAAAGGAGGGCACGTAGTCTGGTGTTCTCTCCACTCGCGTTTCTCTGAGATTTAGTCGAAGACCAACGTTTCTACAGGTTTTATCAAAGTCGGAAAGCATACGCTTCGCTTGGGTTTGGCTATGTTTGGTGTTACAAACACGATGTCACCATCAAAGCAGAGATGGTGTAACTGCCGACCATCGAATTTCACTCCCATATGATCCCATTCCAACGCTCGCTTGACGTTCTGGAAGGTGGCGGAAAATAATTTTAGCAATATGGTATCGCCTTGCCTAACACCTGTTTTGACGTCAATGTTAATATCGTTGTAGAATCCTGATAGCCGGTTAGGCTCGAGGCTACGTGGCGCGTCCCCAGGTGGCGGATAGGAGTTTAAGCGCGGACGAAAAACGACTTTTGCTCCAGTCAGACGCAGGTGGATCCTGGCGATGGACTCCCTGTTTCTGCTGCGTCGATATGGCACTTTCTTTCTGCATTTACGAGGCGTATTCATGCACGCGAACAAGTTTAAGCGCATTGTATTCTACGAGCCAATTCGGCCAAAAGCCTGCAATCAAGTGACAGGGAAGTATTTGGGAGGCGGTTAGAAGTCGCCTCCAATAAGCTCCATGTCTATTCTGGGAGAGCCTGGTAAGATACCAGTGAGTATACCTAGCCCCACGTTCAGAGCCCAGTAAACGGTATCAAAATGCCAAACACAGTAAAAAAAAAAAAACTGGCCTCATTCCCCTGACCCCGAAAGAGCCACCAATTTCACAGCGTTGGGTAGGAGAGTACGGAGAGGTTGCTAAAATTTCAGGACCAATGGAAGCTGCCTGGATTCCAAAGAACTATAGTGTACCTACAACGCACGTATACTTGCATCCGAGTCCTCGATAGAGGACTTGCTCAGGCAAGCACGAAGAATAAGGTCATCGGCCTGGACGAGACCTGACGACGCCGCCGATTCAACGCCACTTATGAAACCGGAGAAGAACTGTTCCTCGGAACATGTGACAGTAGAGGAGTCGGTGTTCTAGTCAAGACGAGTTTGTCCATGAACTCGATTCATTCGGACGACCAATGACCCGGATCAAACATTTACGATTAAAAAGATGTGGATCAATTCCTGCTTTGACAATCTTTGTCGTTTACGGACCAACATCAAATTATGACGAAGAAGAAATCAAACCGTTCTATATGGACTTGGAGAAGTTCTACAGAGAAGACCGTACATTGTTCAAAGTCATTATTGATTATTTTAGTGCCAAGATTGAACCAAGAAGAAGGTCTAAAGAACGTCACATTGAAACCTACGGATTAGAGCGGAACGTTTAGGGTGGCCTGCTGTCTGAGTTTATCATGGCGACCAAGACAGTCTATGGTAACTCGCAATCCCAGAAGACGCACCCTCAACTCTGGACGTAGGAATCTCCCAGTGGAGATTACCACAACGAAACAAATCACATCATAGTAAATAAAAGGTTTGGCCTAACCGATATTGCTGTTGTCCCAAAATTCTACACGTGATCACACCATTGTCTCCTTCGTGCAAGATTCTATTTCTCGTGGAAAGGAGAAAAAGCCGCCAAATTCCAAAACCGAAGTCCAGAACTACCGCAAACTGAAACCTACTCAATTCATTAGTCGGCGGTTGGGAAGATGCCGTTGCCGATAACATCGTCCAAGAATACGACCGGCTCATTCAACATCTTCACGTTAACGCTATGAAAGCTAAGAGCCCCAAAGTCACCAAGAGACGTTTGTCTGCAGAAATACTCGAGCTGATACGCCAGCGTGGAAACGCACGAGCTGCAGGCAACCGCGAACTAACGTCGGAACTTACAACACAATGCAGACAGGTGATAAAATAAGATCTTAAATAGAAAAGAGCAGCACCAATTATCGAAGCCTCAAAAGCTGGGAAAAGCATTCGCACGGCCCACCGAAGCTTCGCCAATTATAAGACAAAGATGATTGCACTCCGACGCGCAGACGGAACAGCTACATCGTCCAGATAGGCAGTGGGGAAATCATTCACTTATACTACTCAGATCTCTTCGATAGCCACGTCAACCCTCAGCCGTATGAAATAAAGGAGGATGGATATATTGTATATCATCGGTTCTCCTTTCCGAAATCCAACATGCCATTTGGTCGGTGAAAAATCGAACAGCACCAGGTCCGGACAGGATAAGATCAGAATACCTGAAGAACCTTCCATTAGTTCTCGTAAACACAATGGCTCGGCTCCTTACACGTTATCTGTCTGAATGCAAGGCCCCTAGGTCAGTGGAAGACAAGCAAGACCATGATACTATTAAAGAAGAGTGACCTACACGATAGCGGCAACTATCGCCCAACCTGCTTGCTCTCTGTCGTCTACAAACTTTTCACTCGACACTCGAAACAGGATTGACAGAACACTAGACGAAGAACAGCCATGTGAGCAAGCAGGGTTTCGAAAAGGATTTAGTACGATGGACCACATCCACACGATAACAAGACTCATTGAAGTATCGCTAGAGGGCAAAAGACCGCTCTGTCTCACTTTCATCGAATAGCGGAATGCTTTTGATTCAAGTGAAATGGAAGCCTTCAATGAAGTCCTTGATAGTCAAGGAGTCCCTACTCAGTACATAAAGAACCTTCGTGAGCTGTACAAAAAATTCACAACCAAGATATCACCATTCTACAACGATATTGCTCAACATAGAACCCTTTACCTCTCATTTTGCACACATACGTACATATATACGTATGCATACGTGCATATATATTTGCATTTATAAATCTGTATTTCTTGTTCTCCCAATTACTTTCGAGTAAACCACACAAGCAGCAGTCCATTTGTGTCGATATCGAGAGGAGGAGCTTTGCAGTGGGTTATGGTTATTCTAGAGGCAAGAGCGTTGCACTTTTTGTTTAGAAGCATAAACGTCGGTAGGCCTTTTATTGTGCACACTCAACATCCTTCGGAACAACAAAGACTCTTCATAGCGGTTATCGCTAAGATGCACCACATGCCCGTTCCACCTAAGCTTTGACATTTTGTATGCAGCAGAGTCCTTGATTTTTGATTGTGATCTTGTAGACCATAGACAGCAGAGAAACTGAGGGATAACTAGTGGTTCACATAGGTCTGCTTTCCTGTACAACAGCGTGGCACTGCCCCTTTCAATTGAATGGAACTTTGCTTCCTGACAAATAAAATGACAGCAAAAACCGAATTACAGCTTTGACCCCGATGGCCTACCTCTTTCACAGAGGCAGCATTTCTTTAAAAAAAAACGCCCACCTGATATGGACCAGAGAGCACAACTAATGCAGAAGTCGAAATCACCCTACAAACAGAAGACAGCATGCCTTGAAGACTTTATGCATCCTCACCTTTTACCGGACCCGATCCATTTAGACCTACTCACCGCTTTCTTCGTGCGAAGCAAAAACAAATCTGTTGAGTCACACCCTTGAACATAACTCTTTTCATCGCAGGTGGAAGAAGAGATCAAAATATGTACCATGCATGACGAAAACAACTTGGATGGGATTCTTTACCTACAACAAAACAGTAGATCAAAGAAGATCCGACAGCGCAATGCAAACTGTACTTCAAATGACTCCAAAGTTGAGTGTTGAAGACCGCAGTTCTTTTATAAAAGAATTCGCAAAGCATTTCTAGGAGCGCCAAGAATTTGTCGCTTGAGAAGAGAAAAAAAACTGGAGTAAGCTCGAAGCTGCGTCAGCATTCAAACTGGCACAGCTTCAAAAACAGGTCAAGATCACGAACAGATTAAAATCCACAGATATTGCTTATCATCAGTTGAATAAGAACCTTGAGTTCTTACAAGCAAAATGTGGACAGCAGAGGTACCGTGTTGACGTAGGGTATCTGTAGGTTCTTCAGATATTCGGATCTGATCCCATTGGAATAGGGTGTTGTATTGTTCTTAAGCGACGACTAAGCATACACGACTTCAGAAACAAGAACCACTGGAACGACATGTCTTCGTTTTGTATGAATGAAGGTGGCTGTTTAAAGGATTAGAGTATTCAAAGATCGTTTTCTCTATTGCCTCTCTGGAACCCGTCACTGTTTCGCCTAGTCGTCGTAATGCGATTGTCGCACTTTTGTAGTTGGCGAAGTTTCGACGTGTGTTGTGAATGCTAGTCCCAATCACCGTACTCTCACTCATTGGAGTCGCTAGTTTACTATTAAGGCTTTTTGCATATTTTTGAAAGTTCGGATGTACCTTGGCGATCGCATGTGACTCGTTCGACTCCACAATGGCGCACGAGCTCGAACGTAGAGAAAATTTCTCTTGTTGAGTTTCGCATCCTTGGCTTTCTTAGCACTAACGTGAAAATGTTGAATAAACTGGTCGTTTCTTTCATCGGTATAATCGGTAATGGTACCTCCTCAAAAACTAATCACCTGAGCTTCTCTTACTGCGGAAAAAAAGACGAATCCTACCAAATGGAGATAATAGTCAGACCTCATGTGAAGTTTTGTGACAACAGTGATGTAGGTTAGGCAAAACCTTCGATTCATTATAATTTGGTGAGTTTAAGATAAAAAGAATGTCAATTCTCATGGTATCCCTAGATTTTAACTCTGGTTTTTCTTTTCAATTTGTCCTTTAAATCAGAAATCAATCTACAATGTATAAATTCAATAAGAATGCCAAATAATTAGGAGACAGTGGGTAAAAGTATCGGAGACTGCATCACTTCATTTTAATCTCAATCCAAGATAGCGCTGCATTTTTAAAATTAACTTACGAGGAGCACTGGAAGTTTTCTTTTGGACGAAATACACCGAAAAGTTTAAAGAAACGAAGTTCAATGTAGTTACCTGAATGTGAATCATGTTGGCGAAAAAATCGAGGTCTTCATCAAGATTTCGTATCTGCCACAACTGTTTTAAGTGAACATGATCCGGGAAGCAACCAATGAGACGTGCAAGACATTTGATGCTCTCCTCTCGAACAATCTATTTTAAAAACGTTTTCAAGGAGCAGAAAGCTTATAAGAAAAATTCACTCGAGTGTCAAATAAAATATAATATGCACAAGCATAATTCACCCAAAGATTTGCATCTTACATAAAGAAGTTTGAAAATACGTCACTACACCGAGTGTTCTTATAGCAGAACGTAGGCAACCAAGCATAATTTAGCGTTTTTCTACGAACCTGGACATAATATTCCCCACACATGCTTGCAGATGGACCCTTTTTCCACGTCTACAACTACTTAGAATTGTTTAGAAAGACCTGATTTAGTGGAGCTCAGCTTTGAAGTAGCGAAGGTAACACAATACTCCATCTTATTGACATTAAATTGAAAGCCTCCCAATGTATAACCCATAACGGTTGTGCAGCGTTCAGCGCAGGTGTCCAAGTAGAATACCAGGAATTTTTCGACGGTTGCGGAACACCTGGTTTTCTCGCAATAATAATTTTTTCAACAACTAACTTGCTTAATCGGTTGTGAAGATGACACAACTGTAGAAGAGACCTCTCTATCGTTGTGTGGGTATGCATGATATGTATGCTACCATTTACTGTTTGTTACTATGGCCTACTATGCAAATACATTTCTGTCAGCAGTTGAAAGTATTTTGTACCCAATAATGAGTGCATTTTTCTGCCCACACTCCGTACAGCAACAATAGTGATTAAAATAAAACGGCAGTTAATTGCTGGTCAATTCATCGGTAAGTTAACTTTCTCGAAAAAGGTCTGTTGATCACTGAGTGTAGTCCTAGAACAACTATAATGATGCTGAGATATTTGCAAAACTCCCGACTGCAGGTGTCTGCGGTGGAGAACGAATGCGCTATTACCCTTTCCACATGCGGTCCGGAGGTTTGCAAACATCTCAGCATCGTTCTTATATTTCGCATAATACTCTGCCGTGAACAATTGTAGTAGGCGGAAAATAAGAAGTTAACACAGAGTGTAATGTTTTCTCACCGCTAATATTTTGATGAGTTTACGAATAGCCACCGAATGAATATATACACAGACATACGTATACAGATATATATATATATATATACATATATATATAATGTGACAAAAAGAAATTAGAATACAATAAACTGGAAATGCACACTACATTGTCTATAACGTCTCACGGCCCAAACGCGTAAGAACACTGCAATTTCCACGGCGGAAGCTATGCGTTCAAAAAAAAGAAAAGACTGTAGTATTCAAAGGCGTTAGTTAATACGTTTCCCTATCGACCTGGTGGGAATACAAGAAGCTTAAAAAAGAGATTTTGCTGTATCGTTCTAATATATGTTCTAAAAATTACGGAGTACAGTTCATCATCAAACCACATCGCTCCAGCACATGTTACCTTTCTTGGTTTATATATATATATATATATATATATATATATATATATATATATATATATATAATATATACATGATATAACGTTGAGCCTATTTCAACATTTTTTATATCCGCACAATCCACACGGTTTATATATACATACATACACATAAGTATATGAATATGTGCATATACACATGCACATATATATATATATATATATATGTATGCATGCATATAAAGCTCTCGCGGTGACCGGATAAAGCTCTCGGCGTTGATCAATCCCTGCGGGATGCACCATGCATTCGACTTCATTAAGTATCGTTGGAGGTGACTGAACGCATATCTGGCCTTTACAGTGGCTATGTACGTATATATGTCAATGGCCTTTACAGTGACTATGTACGTATATATGTCAATAAATGTCATTAAGTAACTTCGGATATTCTCCAGTTACGAAAACATCATATACCTCGCTCGTGGATCTTATTCCGCATAAAAGCACATGAATAATGTCTGCATTGACGAAGCAGATCTTTTCACTTTGTTCAATTGAACTCCGGGAGACGTATTCAATAAGCACTCGAAGACTTAAAGCAGATGAAGCGCGCAAAGAGAAATCTTTCGTCTGAAAATGGGAAAAGTGGTAATAAGCAATGAACAAAGTACATGAAATGATTACTCACTGTGTTTAATGTATTATAATGCGCATGAAGAAATATTCTCAGCACACAAAGATTAACAACAGCGTCTGCATTCAATATCTGAAAATCTACGTTGCATCTCTTCAAAGATTTATTCCCATGAAGACATATGCATATATATGTATCCACGGAGGCATATATATATGCCTCATATGAGGAATTTCGAGCCGGTTAGTCGCGAGGCTACGTGGAGCATCTCTAGGTGGCGGAAAGGTGGTTAAGCGCGGACCAAAAGCGACCGCAGGTCTCCCTGAGATGGATGGAAATAGGGGATCCCTGTTCTCTCCCTGTTCCAGCTCCGCCGATTTGGCACATACTTTCTGTATATAAGAGGCGTATTCATGCACGCGTGTGTAGGGTTCGTCCTAGTTTACGCGGATTGTATTCAACGAGTCAATTCGGCCAAAAGTCTGCAATCAAGTGACAGGGAAGTATATGGGAGGCGGATAGGAGTCGCCTCCAACAAACAAGCTCCACGTCCACTCTAGGAGCGACCGGCAAACCACCTGTGCGTATATCCAGCCCCACGTTCAAAGCCCAGCAAACTATACGTGGGTATCAAAACGCTAAACACACTTAAAAAGAAACGGACCTCATTCCCCTCACCCTGAAAGAGCCCCAATTCGGCAGCGTTGGGTAAGACAAATACGGAGGGCTATTAAAATCTCAGGACCAACGGAAGCTGCATGGATCACGAAGAACTAAGGTGACCATCTGCATCTACAATGCACAAACCCTTGCATTCGAGTCACTGACAGAAAACTCGATCATGTAAGTGAAAAAAATAAAACACGACATCATCGGCATAGCCAAGAAGAGACGAGGCCACCCGTTAAACGCCCTCTATGACACCACAGAAGAACTGTTCCTCGGAACATCCGACAGTAGAGGAGTACGCGTTGTCGAAAACACGAGTTCGTCGATGAACAACGATTCATTCAAACAACCAATACCTTGAATCGGACGTTCATGATTAAAAAGGTGGACCAATACCGGCTATGACAATCTTCGTCGTTTACGGACCGACATCAAACTATGACGAAGAAGAAGTTAAAGCGTTCTATATGGACTTGGAGAAGTTCTACAAAGAAGGCCATACATTCTTCAAGGTCATCGTTGAAGAGTACAACGCCAAGCGTGGATCAAGAACATCTGAAGAACGTCACATTGGAACCCGCGGATCAGAATGGAACGAACAGGGAAGCGGCTTCCTAAGTTTACAATTACGACCAAAAACATCCACGGTAACTCGCAATTCCAGAAGCCCCACGCTCAACGCTGGACGTGGGACTACCCCAGTGGAGAGTACCATAACGAAATCGACCACATCATATTAAACCGAAGGTTTTGCCTAACCGATGCCGCTGTTATCCCAAAATTCTACACGGGATCAGAACATCGACTCCTTCCTGCTAGATTCCACTTCTCGCAGAAAGGAGAAAAAGCCGCTAAATTCAAAAACCGAAGTCCCAGAACCACCACAAAGTGTGACCTATTAAATTCATTAGTCGGCTGTTGGGAAGATACAGTTGTCGATAACATCGACGAAGAATACGATCAGCTCATTCAACATCTTCACATTTGCGCTAAGAAAGCTGAGAGTTCGAAAGGCACCAAGAGACGTCTCCAGAAACTCTCCAGCTAATACGCCAACGTGGAATCGCACGAGCTGCGAGCAACCGCGAATTAACGTTCGAACTTAAACAACGCAGACAGTTGATAAAATAAAGTCTTAGAGAGAGAAGAGCAGCCGCAATGGTCGAAACTGCAGAAGTTAGTAAAAGCATTCGCAAAGCCCACCGATGCTTCGCCAATTACATGACCAAGATGATTGCACTCCGGCGCCCAGACGTAACAGTCACAGCGTCCAGAAAGGCAATGAAGAAAATCATTCGCGAATACTACCCAGACTCTTCCATAGCCATGCTCCACCTTCCATCATATGAAATAAAGGAGGATGGATATGTTGAACCACTGGTTCTCCCTTCCGAAATCGGACATGCCACTTCTGTCGGTGATAACTCGAACAGAAGCAGGTCCGGATAGCGCAAAATCTGAAGACTTGAAGAACCTTCCGTCGCCCAATCTGCTTGCTCTCTGTCGTCTACAAACTTTTCATTCGAGTTATCCTAAACAGGGTTGACAAAACACTGGGCTAAGGGCGACCATTTGAGAAAACAAGGTGTCGAAAAGGATTTAGCACGATGGACCACATCCACACGATAACAAAGTTCATTGAAGATCGCGAGAGTGCAAAAGACCGCTCTGTCTCACTTTCATCGATCTGAAGAAGACCTTTAACTCAATTGAGACAGAAGCAGTCATGGAAGCCCTTGATAGTCAGGGTGTCCTTACTCAGTGCACAAAGATTCTGCGTGAGTTACACAAAAATTTCACATCCAAGATAGCACCATTCTACAACGATATTAACATCGACGTCATAAGAGAGTTTAGGCAAGGCGATACCATCTCGTCAAAATTATTTACCGCCACCATCGAAAACGTCATGAGAACATTGGAATGGGATAATATGGGATTGAAATTCGATGATCGGCAGTTACACCATCTTGGTTTTGAAGAAGACGTCGTCTTTATAACATCAAATATTAGCCAAGCGGAACGAATGCTGGCTGACTTCGATAAAGCCTGTGGAAAGACTGGTCTTCGAATGAATCTCACAAAAACGATGTTCATGAGAAATCGCCAGTTATGTCTATCTTGGTCGGAAAATCAAGAAGCGGCTTGGGGAGCGTTCAAGAGCATCGAAAAAGTACTCAGGAGAACAAAGAACACCCGACTCCGTGCCCACTTTTTCGACTCAACCGTGCTTCCTGCGTTAACATATGCGTTGGAAACCTGGTCGCTGCGTAAGCAGGATGAAACTTCCCTCAGCGTTATCGAACGCGCAGTCGAAAGGACGATGTTAGGAGTATCCAGTGTCACGCAAGTTGGGAAAGGAATCCGAAGCTTCAACCTTCAACGATTAAAAATCAAAGATCCCGTTCTCTACGTCGAACAATCCAACACAAGGTGGGCCAGACACGTAATGCGTGTGAACGATAACCAATGGACAAGAGCCGTTAGTGACCGTATTCTTCGGGATTTTAAACGCAGACCACCAATCCGATGGTCGGAGTTCTTCACGAAAAACCTAGAAGAAGGATATGATACTCACCGTGTTCCTAGAGCGAGCAAAACCCACTGGGCTACTCTTGCACGTGACAGGGAAAAATGGAAGATTTACTGATGCCCTCTAGAGTCACTAAACGATCAACGGGACTACAGGTGATACAGATGATATATATATACATATATATATGCAATATGTATATATACATGTATATATGTTTATGCGTAATGATTTACTCGCTGGTTCTAAAGTTCTAAAGTCCACGGTGTTCATCAGTCCCTTAGGGATGCGATATGCATTCGACTTCATTAAGTGTTGTTAGAGGAGACTGAACGCATAACTGGCTTACATGATGACTTGCGGTGGCTTACCGATGTACCGAATCAGTGCTGCTATCCTCCCAGACAGTTCTAGTGCGATTTGCCGACCTCGGAGGAATGGAAGGATCGGTGATCCTAACGGGCAAACTCGATCCCAAGTGTATTGCAATGGCCTCTAACCACTATGTTACACATGCCCCTGAGTAGCCGATATGTAACGTTGGTAACATAAGTGAGCTTCTGTGGGTGTTAAAAACTAGGAGAATATAAGTTAACTGCATAAGTGTGAAGTACAGAGCATAGTTTTATGATAAATAAACTTGCATTATTCAGCCGAGAATAAGCGGAGTGACGCCGACTATGATCTGGCTCATCGATACGCGAACGATCCCAGCTTTCCAAATCAGATACAATAGATATATGATCACAGATATCTTCGGGTACATTTCGATGCAATGTTAGCACTTCACATATGCGAACTAAAGCTTGTCGAGAAAGCCGATCTTCCATTTTGGAAAATAAAGGACCGAGACGCCTGAAATTTCAAAATTTTGAGATACTAATTTCCATCTTTAATGACGGTTGTTAATCATGAACAAACCCCTATAGTAAGCCATATCCAATACATTTTAACTTAGTCCGTTGCCTAGTTTCGATCTCTTAGCTGCCGCAAATAATTTTTATTCACAGCAAGTACACGTGAGCTATGCAATCCTGCCTAATCTTCGATGTTCCATCGCTCTCCTCCGTTTTCTTGCTTTGTCGACACAGTCCTCGACCATGTATTACTCTCTGCGGCTGCTATCCAACAACTAGTTGGAATGATTGCACGAATAAACGGTTGGTGTTCAAATGAAGCTGCCTATTACGCAAATCCAAATTTACTTGTTAAGTTTTATCTGCTAGGGTTACGAAAGTGTTCCGCTGAGTAGATCGCATGTCAATTTGAGCTTTTCAGGCTCTGAAGAAGCCGAACCCGCTGAAACGACGGCTATTGTATCCTAATAAATTCTATACCAACCTCGTATCTGCTTATTGAAGAAAACACCGAATTATCAGTCAATGCCGAGAATAATACAAAGTCGGTCTTGGGGATTATTATGACATTATCCGTCATCACAGCTACTGTGTAGAACCCTTCACTTCTTGCATTCGATTCATTCTTCTGGTATTCACAGTCCACAAAGGTCTTCAAAAATCTAGCTGTTGTTTCGGCTGCTGCTTCAGAACTTGTTTTCTCTTTTTTAATGAATAGCGTAAAATGTTGGTCGAGTCGATTCTCCTTACAATTTCGGATAACCCGAGCTAAGGCGCTCCCACGCTATAGTCACAAAGGAGGATAGAAAGTAAAGCGTTCAGTTTTTATAATACTTCAGGGATGCACCACATATGCCGTTGCTACCTTCCTAAGCAAGTCCTGACTTGATAGCAATGTCCTGACTCTATAGTGCTGCAAGTTTTGTTTAACCTGGGGTAGGAAGTTAAACCAACGACCACGTATGGATGACGGAGCACCTCTCACCAATTAGCTTCACGTGCCCGCAAGTCAAGTGAACTGGTAAAGGGAACGCACATGATTAAAAAATTTCAAACATATACTTTGCGAAAGCATAACGATAAACACGCATTTTGTGGACGACTTTCTTACTTCCCAGATATAATCAGTAATTTTGCTGATGGGTATTTTATAATACAACTATAGAAGTGTCCACAATGCTTCGCCACCTTATATCCTTGCAAATTAACTAAATGTCGTATTTTATTGTGTATTGTTTTGCAAATTATTATGTAGGTAAAAGGATTTCTGATCCAACCCCGATTGAATACAAGTACATGAAAAACTTCTGAACACCAAAGTAAATACGAAGGAGAAAGAGCTGATATGAAATCACACTTCCTGTTGTGCTTTAGTTATTGTAAATTAACATAGATTAGACTTTACGTGTCGACAACCATTTAGTATAACAATAGCCTGCTCATAGTTAAATTTGTTTATTTCGAAACCGACTTTCCCTGAACCTCGGTGTGACTAATCAATATTATTTTCGGCTAACGTTTCAACATCTTCGTCTTCCTCAGAGCCGGTGATCCGAGTCGATGGTCCATGTTTATTTGAATTTGTTTAATTTTTGCGACAAATCAACAACGCATGAACAAAACCCTGACGGGCGCAGGTGTCATAGTGGTTAGAGAAGCACTATGCGACACACAAAGTTCTTCTTGGTTCGATCAGGCGCCCTGAGCTAGCCAATCTCCCACTACTCTGGGGTCGGCAAATTGTTACCAGATTTGCACAAGAGAATAAAAACACAGACTCGATCCATTGCTATGCTCCTGCAAGTCATTGTATAGGCCAAAGGTGCGTCTCTATGATGATTAATTGAATCGAATGCTTGGCATCTCTCCCAGGGAATGATCAATGCCGCATGCTTCATCCTTTACTCTTTCAATACCCTTACGGACGCCTGAGTAAGAGGATTCAACGCATTGATTCCATATAAACAAGCTTAGCAATATTACACCACATTCGACAGTTTACTTGAAACGAGATTTAGTTTGGTGAGTTTGTCTGCAGTGCTGTAGAACTCCGCGTCAGAGACGACTTAGGAAACAATTAAAACGTAGAGAATGGAAAAGGAAAACTCACCTCATGAATTCACTCGGGTCAGCAACTTTTCCAATCAAAGAAGCAACGACATTGAGCAATTTATTTAATGTGGACTCCTTTGGTGATTTTTTTTCTAGATGACTCAGAACAGTGCAAATTATATCTCGAGCGAAGGCTTCATCAAGAGAATATTCAGATAACCTTAAAAAGGGATAATTCTATGGAAAACCGAAAAATCTCCCAAACAGATGTAGAGAGCATAATGAGATTTAAATGATACAAAAAAAAATTACCGACAGAGCAATTCAAGATCAGTCATATCAAATTTTTTTTCCGATGCTTTTACGGAATTGGAAAGAAACTGTACCACTGGATTGACATATTCCACTACTAATGCTGTTCCGTAATTTGCGCCTAAACACAGTGAATTTAGACATAATAATGTTTGAAAGAAAACGAGAATACATGCCTTTTTGCAACGGTATGTCTTCGTACTCGCACTGAGAATGTGTCATTGTCTCATCAGCCAAAGTGAGAAGATTCAGAAGTGCTTTTCTGATTATGTTAGACATATGGCGCGTTAGACCAGGCCACAATAATGGTGAAACAAGGAGCTGCATGAGTGCCCCGCTGTGAGAATGCCATTCGAAGTGAAGAGCTAACACATGATAATGCCTTAAACAAGCGATGACTGAACAAACAAAATTAATAGCAATGATTGCAACCATAAATAATCCTCATAGACTGATCCTTCAATACACTAGCAGTGTTTTTAACAGCTCCATATATGAACGAAGCATTTCGGTAATTACATGACCGTAATATATAATTGAGGAGCTTAAGAAATTGGTAAAATGACCGAAGTTAGTTAAGAATGACTGAAAAGCAAAGCTTTGTGATAAGGTAGCTTAAAATGATGAGCCTAACTCATCAAAAACAACGATGGCATTATTCAGTAACTCCAAAAAAGCCTCCATTTTAAAATATCAGCATTATAAACTAATTAAATGTCGGTCAACTGAAGCCTCCAAATTGTGGAATGACTATGATAAATAACAGTAATTACAACGTATGCATACAAGAGTGGAAAGTTCTGACAAAAAGATAAATTAAACATGCCGCCGGAGACATGGAGGCAAAAAATGCGCGATAGCTGCCGTTTACGACAATGGAGAAATTCCACCTCGAAGAATATGAGGGCGACGTAGATCAAATGACAAAGTTGCTATTTCTATCAACATACGCCTGCATGTAGAAATAAATTTCTCTGAAGTAACGACCGCAATCGAGCAGTAAGTGGCGCAGTGAAAGTGCCTCTTTCTGGGAAACAGGAGGTATTTATGTGCAAGAAATTATATTTAGAAAGTTTGTGAGACTAGACATTGTAAGACCTTATATGTAAGAAATGCGAGAAATTCCAAAGAAATTGTTAGACATAGAGGCAAGATTACCACCAAGGTGTTCAACACCAAAGTTGACAACGGCAGAGTTTCTTAAGAATTTCATAACTAGAACATTTGAAATGAAACAGGGCAAGCAAAGAGAGGCAATTTGAGCTCATCGGCAGCAAAACTATCCTTGTTAACTCACAGTCCCGGGAGCACTTTCACGACAATAAGAGTGACAAACTTTCGGTAGCATAATGAGAACGATCACAGTTGACTGGGACTTAAGAGTCGTATACAGGACAAATGATAGAAAGATGCAAATTTTATGAGAGTTACAAAATGATTCACGACGTCTTTAAACAAATAAGAAGAAAAGAAAAGAAAGACAATGCAATTCACAACAGCTATCCTAGCCACAAGCCTGGTAAGTGAAATAAAGGACTAATAGTCTTCGCCGTTAGTTAGTTCTTAACCACCTATGTGGAAAATATAACCGCGTAATTTGTCTTTATGGCAAGGACGATGGATGCGAAAGTTCATTTGCGCAGATAAATATATTGGTGAAACGGCCAGACCATTTTGCATTTGCATAAAAGAGCATCTAGATGGTAAACAAAAAGACGTAAGACAAGGCAGGCAACTAGGGACGCATCATCACCAGTATCACCTGTAGTCCCGTTGATCGCAAAGTGACTCCAGGCTGCGCCAGTAAATCTTCCATTTTTCCCTGTCGCGTGCACGAGCAGCCCAGTGGGTTCTGATTGCTCTAGGGGCTCGTCGAGCATCATATCTTTCTTCAAGGCTTTTCGTGAAGAGCTCTGACCATCGGGTCGGTCGTCTTCCCGCAGTAGGTTTGACATCCCAAGGAATCCATCACTAACGGCTCCTGTCCAACGCTTGTCATTCATATGCATTATCTGTCCGGCATACCTTATCCTCGACTGTTCGGCGAACAGAACAGCATCTTTGATTTTGATCGTTGACGTAGGTCGGAGCTTGGAATCCCATCCTTTACTTGTGTGACACGTGATACTCCTAGCATCGTCCTTTCGACCGCGCGTTCGATAATGCCGAGTGATCTTTCATCCCGCGAACGCAGCGACCAGGTTTCTGACGCATACGTTAGGGCAGCAAGTACGGTCGAGTCGAAAAACTGGGCACAGAGTCGGGTGTTCATTATCCTCTTCACGACATCCTCGATGCTCTTGAAATCCACTTGAAAGCTCCCCAAGCCACTCAGTTCCTTCAACTCAGCTTTGGAGCTAAGTCGTTCATCGTATTGATTTCCCGACCTAGATAGGCATAACTGGAGCATCTGGAGATATTCGTTCCGTTGAGCGTGAATGGGGCATACGAAACCAACCCGTTTCTCTTAGACATCGTTTTTGTGAGATTTAATCGAAAACCAATCCTTCCACAGGCTTTATCAAAGCCGGTTAGCATTTGTTCTGCTTGGCTAATCTTTAGTGTTATAAGGACGACATCATCAGCAAAGCTAAGATGCTGTAGTTGCCGATCACCGAATTTCACTCCCATATTATCCTATCACAATGTTCGCATGACATTGTGGAGAGTGGCGGTAAATAATTTTGGCGGGATGGTACCACCTTCCCTAAAACCTCCTTTGATGTCAATGTTAACATCGTTGTAGAATAGTGATAACTTGGTTGTGAAATTTTTGTGCAGCTCACGAAGAATCGTTATGTACTGAGTAGGGACTCCTTGACTATCAAAGACCTCCTTGACCGCTTCTATCTTAATTGAATTAAAGGTCTTCTGTAAATCGATGAAAGTGAAACAGAGCGGTTTTTTGTACTCTCGAGATACTTCAATGAGCCTTGCTATCGTGTCGATTTGGTCCATTGTACTGAATCTTTTTCGACACCCTGCTTGCTCACACGGCCGCCCTTCCTCCAGTGTTCTGTCAATCCTGCTTAGGATAACTCGAATGAAAAGTTTGCTCTTGTTCGATTTATCACCGACGGAAATGGCATGTCGGATTTCGAAACGGGGAACCAATGGTTCACCATATCCACCCTTCTTTATTTCGTATGGCGGAAGGTGGGTGTGGCTATCGAAGAGATCTGAGCAATATAAGTGAATGATTTTCTCCATTGACTATCGCCTGTCTGCGTTGTTTTGTAAGTTCGGACGTTAGTGCGTGGTTCCCTGCAGCTCGTGCGATTCAATGCCGGCGCATCAGCTCGACTGTTTCTGGAGATAGACGTCTCTTAGTGACTTTTGAACTCTCAGTTTTCATAGCTCAAACGCGAAGATGTTGAATGAGCCGACTGTATTCTTCGCCGATGTTATCGACAACGGCATCTTCCCAATAGCCGACTAATCAATTGAATAAGTTCCAGTTTACGGTGGTTCTGGGGCTTTGGTCTTTGAATTTTGCAGCTTTTTCCCCTTTCCGCGAAAAATAGAATCATTCACGAAGGAGACAGTAGTCTTATCACTTGTAGAATTTTGAGACAACAGCGAAAACGCTTAGGCAAACCTTCGGCTTACTATGACGTAGTCTATTTCGTTATGGTACTCTGCACTGGAAGACTCTCACGTCCAGCGTTGAGGGTGGAGCTTCTGGAATTGCGAGTTACCACGGATGGTCTTAGTAGTCATGATAAACCCAGATTTTTCTTAGTCCAATCTTGGCGTTGAAATCTCCAATGATGACCTTGAAGAATGCGTGGTCTTCTCTGTAGAACTTCTCCGAGTCCATATGGAACGCTTCGACTTCTTATTCGTCAGAGTTTGATGTCGGCGCGTAAACGACGAAGATTGTCAAAGCCGTAATTGATCTACATCTTTTTAATCGTAAACGTCTGATTCGGGTTGGAAGTTGTTCGAATGAATCGTTGTTCATGGACAAACTCGTGTTGACGAGAACACCGACTCTTCTACTGTCACATGTTCCGAAGAACAGTTCTTCTCCGGTGTCATAGACGGTGTTGAATGGTTGGCGTCGTCTCATCTCGGCCAGGCCGATGACGTCGTACCTTATCTTTCTTGCTTGCATGTCTTAATGTAAGTCTTCTATCGAGGACTCGTATGCAAGTGTACTTGCATTGTAGGTACAAATCGTCACCACAGTTCTTTGCAATACAGGCAGCTTCCTTTGGCCCTGAGAGTTTAGCAGCCTCTCCGCACTCGTCCCACCCAATGCTGCGAAACTGGGGGCTCTTTCGGGGTCAGGGGAATGAGGCCTGTTTTCTTTTTACTGTGTTTAGCATCTTTGATGCCCACGTATAGCTTGTTGGGCTCTGGACGTGGGGGTTGGGTGTACTCACGGGTATCTTGCCAGGCTCTCCCAGAGTGAACATGGAGCTTATTTGTTGGAGGCGACTCCTAACCACCTCCCATATACTTTCCTGTCACTTGATTGCAGGCTTTTGGCCGAATTGGCTCGTAGAATACTACCCGAATAAGCGAAAACGCACTCACACACGCATGCATGAATACGCCTCTCGAATACAGAAAATTATATGCGAAAGCGACGCACTAGAAACAGGGAGTCGATCCCCTGGATCCACCTGCGTCTCAGCGAAACATGGTCGCTTTTGGTCCCCGATTAACCCCCTATCCACCACCTGGGGACGTGCCACGTAGCCTCGCCACTAAGCGGCTCGAGATCCCTCATATGAGGGAGATTCGTGGTAGTGGAGACGATTTTGATACAAAACTCGCTATCCTCGCACATGATCCCATTACAGTAACGTGCGAAGTTCTCGAGGGTTTTTGTGTACATACCGAGAATCCGAGAATGAATAGCAGCGAAGAATGCTCAAATATAACACGTAATCTCGCCCCGTATCTCAGAATTGATTTTTGATGAGTCATCAACCATATGCGACTAAGCGGCTGTTCTTCCTCGGTGAAAGGCAGCTGAAAAACGGTGGATTTTTCGAAAGGTTGTTCGTGCAACTGTCGTTCAGATTTTCATCTTTCTGTTTGTGCTGTTGCAGGGCTTGACTTAGTAAATCACGTATCAGGGTACCCTTCCAGGCTGTGAAGAAGGCGATACTGCCGAAACGTCAGTTACCGTTGGATTGCATGTGTAGTTTTCGTAAGGAGATAAACGTGTGTGCTGAATAAAAACAACGCGATTGCTGAAAAAGAAAACAAGATATTTATAATCCAGTGTCGATTTAATGGAAAGTCGATGTTGGGAACTGTTACAAAGGACTTGGTTCACCTGAATTCCTAGTGGCAGCTAAGCAGGTCTTGATTAGCAACAGTAGATAATAGGTGATTATTATGGGGTAACGTTGCGTCCTTTTCGCGTCCACAGTGTTAATTTTCATCGTTCATCGAAAACATCAATGACGTGATTCAGATATGTTGCCCGTTGCCGTTGCCCGTTTCAATGGAACTATTTATCGATGGGACACTGTTTAAATGAAGTCGCTTCTTCAATATGGGATAAAGCCACCTCCTTCTTCGAACAAAACCAATATTGATATAGCAAAAGAGAACCCCAAAGCTCAACGGATTCCAAAAAATCGGATTTTTTTCCTGCCTTGCTTTTCGGATGATATCACTACCATTGTCAAAAGAATGAAGTTACCACGTTTAAAACCATTAGAATAACACCACGAAAGATAAGACTTGAACGTTTAGAGTATTAGATAGTGTAACAAAATCGAGAGAAAACCCAACGATGTCCATTCAGGTCACTAAAGTTAAAAAATGTAACGATGAAGGCCATCCAGGAACTTTACTCCGTTACCGCAGTCTCAATTCCCTAATCTAATGCTGTTTAGTACAAAGATTGTCCATTACGAACGAAATCAAAAATGGCCATAGGAGCTTTGCGAGAGAACCACAAACAAACTGTGGTATTTTTTTAGTAGTTCTTATCGACTAAAATGTAGACCCATCATGGGATAACTTTAGACAACTGTTAACTTTTATATACCACGATAACACAACCTATTCATAGAAATCGCCACCTGACGAATCCATACCTACGTGCCTTCTAGATCGCCTCAATAGTTTTATAAGTACAGCCGAGTTGTGGTCTGAGGTCTGCAAAAAGACGGGAACTTTAAGTGTCGTCTCAACGAAAATCGGAAGAGCGAACGACCTACGAGAAGAACAAGATAATGCAATCGAAGACGGTACAAGAGTGCTCTTCTACATGATGTTTGGTTGAGTATGGACCTCAACTAGCTTTACTCAAAGTTGGCTCAGAGTTCTAGATCTGTAGTAGCACGGACAAATGCAAATAAAGGAGCAAACACCTCCATGGCCTACAGCGCGAAGAAACGAAAGGGGTAGGAATATGATGAAGTCCGCGTATTCCGCAAAGGACGAACATCCCAAACAGGAAAGCTTTTGTGTCTTTATTTCCTTCTATTTACACGGAATATTTGAGCATTAACTACTGTGGTCCTCAATTATAAGAAATAATTTAACATATTTGTAACTATATGAATTCATTTCTTACGTATACGTGACCAGAAACACTTGTAATTTTCAGTTCTGAGCACGTAAATTGGGCTCCCAGTGATTTCCATTAATTGCAAAAAATTGACATACTGAAAGTTTACATGCAGAAGATAATAGGCTGCAAGTTTTCCTATTGTGATAGGAAAAAATCAGCTCGTGTATATAGCAGAGCATATAAAACGTACTCTCTGGTTTTTTTTTGTCAATACTAGCAATTCGTTTAATGGAAAAGTTGAAAGAAAGGGATTTCACTAAGCAGGATGCGGCCATGTATCCGAATGCACTGTTGCTGTAGCTGCCACATTGATATCAAAATTACATTTCCACTTTCAATTTTTCGAAAACCCCTGAGTTATAATCGAATTTGAAATCAAAATTACCTTTTGTAAAAACTGTTCACAACTCTAATGCGATGAAATAAAATATTTTCTTTAGGCCCGTTAATTTTGCAACCTTTTGAATGCTCTAATTATCGAAAAATTACTAATAGCAGTCGAGAAACTAACATCGCCGCGAATATATCAAATGAGGAAATTAATTAACTCACGTTGGATAAGCACTAACTGCAGCAAGAATTTTGATCACAGACAAAGGTGCAATTACTATAGGATCAGCTCGAATACTTTTTGCCTCGGTTAAATACGGTAGCACCACATATGATAGCAAGCCTTTCAACTCCGTGTCAAAGAATGACCGTTGAGGATAAGCACCGAGGAACTGAAAGCAATAAAAATTAACACAATCCTCTTAAACTGCTATAAAGGATGAAGGATAAAGCTCTCAGCATTGTTCTATCCCTTAGCGTTGCGCCATGACCTCATCAAGTATCGTTTGGAGGTGACTGGATGCATATTTGGCCTTATAATGACTCGCGGTGGCCTACCGTTATATCGAGCTGCTGCCACCCTCGGAAAAGTCTGATACCAATCTGCCGACTCCGAGGATGGAAGGCTTGGTGGGCCAGGGAAGCGGAAATCGATCCTATAAGTATTGCAGGGCGCGTTTGACCACTGCGCCATGCGCACCCTTTCTTGAGTGTGCGTTTATAATAATTCTTGGCGAGATTCTTTCGCCTTACCTAACCCCTCTTCTGATGTCGAAGCTAATATCGTTCTTGAATGGTGATAGATTAGTTGCAAGGTTTTGCATAGCTCATAAAGAATTTTTATTTACTGAGTAGGTACTCCCAAGTTGTGCAGGACTTCTTTTCCTTAATTCCTTGGTAGCACACATAGAACGTGTACAAAGTGTGGGTAGATAAAAAGTAAGAACGGAATTTGTCGACGAATATAGCATAATGCAGTTGTATCAATCTGTGGAAACGAGATGCATATACAGGCAGAACTGCAATGTTTCCCTTCAATAAGCAGACACAAGGTTGTAATTATAGAATTTATTAGGATACAATAGTTGACGTTCGGCGGTTGCACCTTCCTCAGAGCCTGGAAAGCTCAAATTGAGATGCGATCTACTCAACCAAACACTTTTGTAACCCTAGCAGATAGAACTTAACATGTAAATTTGCATTCGCGTAACAGACAGCTTCATTTAAACACCCACAGTTTATTCGTGTAATCATTCCAACTAGTTGTTGGATAGCAGCCGCACAAAGTAATACATGGGCGAGGACTGTGCCTGTGTCAGGTCATTGGGTCAGCCTGAGGCATGGCGACAGGTCATGACAAGACACTTCTCCTTGCGGTTCATCTTGGAATTCCTGGAATTGATCCAGAATGCTTCAAGAGTTTTACGCGCTGATGTTTTCGAATCGTGTGTGAGGATAGTGACTCCTACTTCATTGCTGGCAAAATATTCCCGACTTGTAAGAGAAGTCCTGTTACTAAGACAAAAAATTGTCTTAGCTAGACAAACGATATCTTTCTCCGCCGCTGCCTGAAACACCAAGTCGCGCAGAACTTCATCAAACGAAAACGAGTACACGATTTGTGCGGCCTACCGAGGGACAGCCAAGTAGTACTGGACATCGAAACGCGACTACTACGCGCCTCTTTTCGATGCATACAGGACACTATGTACGCGCTATTGAAGAAGTGCAAGTCGAAAGAATCTTATTGTGTTCAGTATTTGGAGGATTCCCTTTGGAGGAGAATAGTGGGTGGGTCAATTTTGATCCGCGATTCTATTGGGTCAAATGCTAAAGCAACCTTAAGCAGAAAGTTTCAAAATTTACTAGATCACTTGCAAAAACCGGCTTCAATTAAACAAAATCGTTTACAAAAGCACTAGCACTAAAAATGTGGCCGATAACGTGCCTGAAAAATCAAGAGTCATCGTGTTAGGAGGCATAATTCTGCCTGATGACGCGCGCTCGCTATTAGAATTGGGACGAAGTTTCTCACCAGCGCAACCCATTTCTAAAAAAACCTTGCGTAGGATCGCGTGCATCCTGCACAAGCTTCAAGATCGACCGCAAAGCAACGCTTGAATTGAGACACAAAATGGAAAAGAACAACGAGAAGTAGGGGCACTAGCACCACCTCCATTTCCTCGGTTATTCCTTAGACAGCAAGACCCAAAAGAAGTCGATATAAAATTTCGTATATTTTCGAGCGAAACACTCAAACTCTCCTTAGCCACTATAGCGAAAAAGTTTAGTTCGAACCTTACAGCTGCGCAAAAATCTGTTATGCGACAGGTTCGAGAACTAATAAAATCAAAGACTATTAGGCTATCAGTTAGTGATAAGGGTGGAGAGTTTATAGTAATTCCTCGCCAGTTAGATGTCGATATAACAGAAAAGCATCTCGAAGACGCATCTCTTTATCGCGCATCTACTGAAAGGGAATTCAGAAGTCAAAATCGAAAACTGAACAACGAATGGGTCAAAATGGCAAGCGCAGCAGGTTTAAAACCAGCAGACACTTCGCATCTTAAGATCGAAGTGCCGACATGCCCCGTTTCTCCGTTGTGTTCTTTTAATTTAGATTTACATCTAGTCGGTAAATTCAAATTAAAACCAAACACTCCACTAGGCGCGCACTGGATGCAGGAACACAATGAAGAAGATTTCGAAGCAGGGGTCACTGTCCTCACGCACGAATTAAAAACGTCAGTGTGTAAAACTCTTGAAGCGTTTTGGATGAATTCCAAAAATTCAAAAATGAACCGGAAGTAGGAGTGTCTTGTCATCACGCGTGACCTCCTGCCATACCTCAGGCCGATCCAATAACCTGACACAGGCACGGTCCTCGTTCATGTATTACTCTGTGTGACTGCTATCCACTAACTGAAATACTCACAACGAATAAAAGGTGGGTGGTTAAATGAAGCTGTTTCTTATGCGAATGCAAATTTATTTGTTAAGTTTTCAAATTTATTTGTTATGTTTTATCTGCTGGGGTTACGAAAATGTTTGGTTGAGTAAATCGCATCTCAATTTGACCTTTCCAGGCTCTGAAGAAGGCGAAACCGCCGAAACGTCAGCTATTGTATCCTAATAAATTCTATAACAACTTCGTGTCTGCTTATTGAAGAAAAACATCGAATTATCAATCAATGCCGAGGTGAACAGAAAGTCGGTTTTGTGAATTGCAATGTTTCCAATGCAACGGAATCCAAGGTTTTTGGTTGACTGGTAACAGAAAATGAACCATAGCAGCAAATTCAGTAGAGAGACCTTTGCAAATTTCATCCATCAAATATTAAAACTTTTCCTCAAAAATAACAGAGGCACTCTCATTCTTCAATGATTTTCAAAACTGATACTGAAAAACCTGACATGATGCATTACATTATTATTAGAAAGAAATAATAGTGAACATAGCTTTATGTAGATGTGTATATAAACCAGTACAAGTTCGACATCTACGCAATTCCACCTCTGACTTGGTAACCTACTTCTCCAATCCGATCTGTTAAAGACATTCGAAGGTCACGTAATTTTGTTGAAAGATACATCGGAATATTCGGATGCACTATTGCAGCTTTAATAGCCACAGCTGTTGCAAGTAGCAGACGAAATAACAAAGTACGCTGTTCTTCGACAATCACACGAGCAATACGTACCAGTAGATTTGATACACTCGACAGGCACCTGAACTTAAAATATACATCATGTAATATACATATCTAAAACCTGAATGCAATTTATATCAAATCGACATTTCAACCTCCAAAATAAATCTATGACTGTAAATAACTGTAATGTTATCAAACGAATGCAACTGTACGTGTACAATTGTCCCAGCCTAGTTCAGACAGTTGGGTTTGAAAAAGAAAACAATGTAATGCTACAAAACCAAAGGTGCTTTGAACCATAACTGCTATTTTTGTTTCGTGTGAGATCACGAAGATGAACAAAGAAAAAAAACAGAGCAACAGAAAAATGCTAGACGTAAGCAAAACTCGGAACCTCAGTTGGTTGATAATACGGGTTCGAAGTACAACTTAAGTCCCGAGTTTTGCTTCACATTCTAGCTGTAACCAGAAAAGATTAGGCAGTAAATAAGGTTAGAACATAGACCAGGAGAGTTCACTTATTTTACAAGCATCAGCACTAGAAAAAGATTATTCTAAAAGATAAAGCTGGACATTATTTCCTCTAAAGTTTGATGGACCACTCAGTGGAAGGGTAGTGTCCAGACATCCAGTTCGATCAATATTCGAGTATTCAACACTTGATGTTCGGATGTTTCACAATATTCGAGTTCTTCTACATCGACCCTGAGCGGTCGGTTACTTTTACACTCCTACTTTCGTTTCTGATTTCGGCTTTAACATCTCTCCGAATCAACTAGTAGGAAAACCGAGCGAAGAATTCGTCGCCGAAAACACACTTCCCTCTGATTCACATCGTGGTGAGGATTTGGATACGTCCTTGAAAGGCTACGTCAGGACTCCAGGAAGGACCAAATTGCACAACCAGCAATAGGCCAGCCTCAGTATACCCCTCACTGGGTGCTCCCTTCTATGAGGTTTGGCGGTGAGATGACCGGTGAGAGGTCACGAAATCTTGGGTACCGCAGGACGTCATTGGAACCGGATGTGACGAACACAGTCACGACATGCCATGGAGATTGTTTCTTACTACGCACGTATAACGCCAGAAAACTCTCCACAGACGCCGATCTTCACGCAATTCAAGCCGCAAATCGCATTACAAGAAACAAAAATCAAGAACACCGACATACGCCAACTAAACAACGGGACCCTTGTGATCCGCTGAGAAAAGTTCCCTTCACGAAATGTCGGCGGCGTAAGCTTTTCGTCCACTCGTCCTTTGTCCATCTCGTCGACTCATACGTGATCCTTTCCCCTCGCATAGCTATTTTCAGATGGTCTGGGAAATATTTCGCGCAAATAAGGGGGTTGGCAATGGGACAGCGATTGGCACCAAGCCTGGCCATCGTGTTTATATCTAAGATAGAAGCCCCTGTTCTCGATCTCCGGCCACTACTCTACTGCAGATATGTAGATGATTGTTTTGTCGTCTTCTCTACGCAGGAGGAGATGGACAAATGCTTCGAATTATTGAACGAGCAGTCCGAGTACATAAAGTTCACCCGGGAGAAGCCGAGAGAAAACTGGCTTTCGTTTTTGGACGTCCAAATAAACCTATCAAGTAGCGGTTACCTGACAAAGTGGTATCGAAAGCCAAGCAACAAGAACATCCTTGTTCATTTCCTTTCTTCCCACCCTTCACACACAAAGAGGGCGATTGTGAGAAACATGTTTCGAACAGCCACCTCTGTGTGCACTACCAGGGAACTAAAGGAAGAATCGCGCGACTTGGCTCGGCAAATAGCCATCTCCAATGGCTACGAAACAGTAACCCCACGAGATAAGTTTACAAGGAGAACGACGCGCCCACGCGAAACACTTGGCCAAAACAAAATCCCGTTTATGTTGCCTTTTATAAGCGATGAAGTAAGCGCAGCTATAAAACGATGCTTAAGAAGGGCAGGTCTAGAGGAATCGGTGGCGATAGTTGAAATACCACCGGCTATTCTACGTCGCCAATTAGTCCGTAGCCGCCTGTATGACCGTCTGTGTGAAACAACAAATTGCGTAATNGAGCAGTCCGAGTACATAAAGTTCACCCGGGAGAAGCCGAGAGAAAACTGGCTTTCGTTTTTGGACGTCCAAATAAACCTATCAAGTAGCGGTTACCTGACAAAGTGGTATCGAAAGCCAAGCAACAAGAACATCCTTGTTCATTTCCTTTCTTCCCACCCTTCACACACAAAGAGGGCGATTGTGAGAAACATGTTTCGAACAGCCACCTCTGTGTGCACTACCAGGGAACTAAAGGAAGAATCGCGCGACTTGGCTCGGCAAATAGCCATCTCCAATGGCTACGAAACAGTAACCCCACGAGATAAGTTTACAAGGAGAACGACGCGCCCACGCGAAACACTTGGCCAAAACAAAATCCCGTTTATGTTGCCTTTTATAAGCGATGAAGTAAGCGCAGCTATAAAACGATGCTTAAGAAGGGCAGGTCTAGAGGAATCGGTAGCGATAGTTGAAATACCGACTACTCTACGTAGCCAATTAGTCCGCAACCGCCTGTATGACCGTCTGTGTGAAACAACAAATTGTGTAATTTGCCCTTACGGCAGGGACGGTGATTGCATGAGTTCAGGTACGATATACCTGATCTCGTGTAACAATTGCGGAGACGAATATATTGGCGAAACGGGCAGACCTTTGTGTATCCGTATAAAAGAACACCTAGATGGCAAACGAAAACTAAGACGAAGCACCCCACTAGGCACGCATAGGATACCAAAGCATAGAGGAGACGATTTTGAAGTAAAAGTCAATATCCTTGCACAGGAGTCCAAAACACCAGCGCGAAAACTCCTAGAGGCTTTTTGGATCAATGCCAAAAACCCTACAATGAATAGCAGGGACGAATGCCCAGAGGTCATACGCGACCTGATCCCGTACGTTCGCATCGATTTTTGATGTGGGATGGTGCAGTCGTCAACCACATGCGACTATAATCAGCTGTTCTAAACTTCCTCATTGGAGGTCACGAAAAAGCGGTGGGTTCTTCGAGAAGTTGTTGATCATGTAATTACCAAAGAGTCTTTCATCTTTTTGTAAGTGTTATTGAAGCGTTTGGCCTAGTAGATTGTATATCAGTATACCCTTCCAAGCTCTGAAGAAGGCGATACTGCCGAAACGTCAGCTAGCGTTGTATTGTATTGTGTTTTTATGGAAGTAAATGTATGCTGTTTAAAAACCTCGCGATTGTTGAGCAAGAAAACGACACTACAACTTATTCCAAACACATTTGTTAATAAGAAGGATCAAAACATTCGCGTCCGCGTTTTTTTTTTTTTTTGAAAAGTGTAGTTCTTCAATAATAAGTTCACTTGAGGCTCTCAGACTTGTTAAATTTATTTAAGAAAGAAAAATGAATACACCGATCTAAGAAGCCGTCAGATCCTGATTCTTCGAAATTATTAACGCATTCACCGGAACTGCAGACAACAACGATGCATTCCACTGTGTCCTATTACTGAACGAAATTACGGTTGTTTAACCCTGTTGTGGTCGTTGGTGGATACCGTAAATCAGATTTGACTCCCATTTTATCTAGTTGTTTATCAATCAAATTTAACAATATAAAACTAGAAATTCTATTTTATGTCACTTGATTTAGGACGAAACTAATAGCGAGGATCTCAAAACTGTCTTAGAAATATTATACCTTTTTATTTTCTGCCTACTATAATTTCGCGGCAGGGTACTAAGCGAAATACAACCACAACGTTGCTGAGATATTTGCAAAACTCTGGACTGCGGTGTCTATGGTGGGGAACGAACGCGCTATTGTCCTTTCCGGGGAGTAACGCGTTCACCACCACACCATGCGGGTCCTTTGTTTCGCCTGTCTCTCAGCTATTTCTATCCGTCTTTGCCACAGCAATGTCTTAGAAATAGTTTTAAGAGCGATTGACGACTAAATAGTACTTAGAATTTCAAGAACTCATAGTAATTATCCACTGAATTTGAATAGAAATCCCAGATAAATTATATCTCAACGGCACGATGTACGCACGACCTTCCTGCCCACCGCACTATTACAATTCGTTAACAATAGATGGGCGGCAACTTGCGACAGCCAATCTCCTCTACTCGAGGTCTTTCACTTACGCTCCTAATGCCATTTCGTTAAACATTCTCTCCCATTCATAATCCTCATCAAATCACTTAATCGGTATTTTTCTAAGTTGCTTAAATGAAAACAACCTTATTTCTGACAGTCTCTGCCGAACAGTCCAAGCCCGAAAAATCACGTATGTTAAGCCACTTGTTAGTATTAAATCACTTGTGTTGTTACTTGTCGTAAAGTTAGGTACTCTATATTATATTTATTCATCACCACTGCTTCCTCTACGAAACTGATGCAGGCTATTTTTAACATGACCCGATATCATACATTGTGCGCATCACAGAACCTTCCCACATTCGATTTATTTCCTCACATTTACCATCCATGAAGGTATTCAAACTTGTTGCGTGAGCGTTTGGCTGCTGCTTCAGGATTTTCGTGTTCACTATGAATCTCGTTAAATGCTGGTGGAGTGGATTCTCCTTGAAACCCCGAGATAGTTATATTAGGACATCGCCACACGGATGAGTCAGTTGGTCGAACACGAGTATAGTAGAAATTTTCCGACCAGGGGGGATTGGATATTTGATAGGCCTCGTAGGAGACGAAGCAGCACCTTGCCCATAATGGACAATATGAGAAAAGAAGTTATGGACAAATATACTGCACAATTGAAGCACTTACCAATGTTTGCTACATAGAATTGATGTAGGCTATAATAATACCGACAAGAAGAACGTAAAACTTCAAAGTGACCTGGCTACATAAAATTTGATTAACACATATAATTAACATATAGTATATTCTACCTTTTTTTGAATGCCTACCGAACCAAGTAGAAAAATCAGTAGTCTTAAAACATGCGGCAAAGTTAAAACAATAAAAACAAATAAGCGAAAAGCCTAACAGTTAGGAAACTCGTACTCATTACGAACATCTTAAGTGTGCGTTAGTTTCCACAAGTCTTTAGTCTACCCCTTCATTGTTAAAAACAAGTTCTTACAAAATTATCCCTACACTTTGTAAATACACTTATTTGTTATGAGTATCTAAAGAGGAGAACAAACGGAGAAAGAATTTCACCTGTTATTTTTGCTTCTTATTGGTGATGATGAAATTTTGTTGTGGGAACAAAAAATCTATCGGTGAAGAAAATAGCATTCAACATAGTTTCACCCAAGTTTGGATACCTTTCGAAGTAATACATTTGAGAGTGAAAAGGACTAAGATGGAAAGAAAAAATCTGTAATTTATTTGTTAAATATGGACAATTTTCCTCCGCTCTAAACAATGAAATGATCGACAAGAGGTTGAAGGGCAACACTATTTCAGTTAGCTTTTTATAACATTATTACAACTGATAAGATCCCTAGTCGCGGCAAAAAAGTGGTATTCACTTCAAGGAGACTACGTAACGTGGAAACTGTGAACTCCATTTTTTAAACAGATACTAACTCATTCAGTATGATTGCCAATCTTTTAATTGGAAACAAACAAATGTAAAGAGAACATATGCCAAATTCATTCTACCTACATTCTCTGGTACTTGGAAAACCACAGTTCGGGCTCAGCAAAAGCGTTTCGTAGAATCACCATCCTTCTCACGTTTCATATTGCAACCATGAAGAACAACTTCACATTAGATTCCTCTGATCAAAAAGATCGCAATAAAGCAAATAATTGCGGCTCCCCATTCGCGAAAACTAGAATAAGCCATTAAGACCGCTGCTGACTCCGGTATACTAGTAGTAAAGAAAAGAACTTTCCAGCTACTTGAATTTCAAACATTTATTTCACTATTTACTAAAATTTGCCAAGGGTTTCTTATTAGCGACCTCTTGCGCGGGATTATATAACACATCCAACATATAAATAATTAAAAGATGTTTTTCTTCGTATTTTTGTTGAGCAAACGCGAGGTGTTATTATTCTTTGTTCACGATTAAGCTGACGTTTCGGCGGATTTCGCCTTTTTCAGAGCCGCTTTCTATGAGGTTTCCACTAAGTATGTCACGTAGAGACCAACCGCACAGAAATCACGTGGAAGTATAATGA